ATCATATTTAAGCGATACTGTCTCTCTCTGAACGGCCACGCTCAATCACTACGACTGAGAGCGACAACGCGTTAGCAGTGTTAGCCTAACGTTAGCGTTACCTTGAAGTAAATCTCGTCCACAACCTCGTGGTAGGTCTTCAGCTCATACAACTGAACTTTAAAATACGGAGACGACAGTATGTTCGTGAGAATCATGGGGTTCAAGTTCATAGTCTTCTCGTTGCCCCACAGCGGCAGGACATTGCCGTGTTTGCCGGTGCTGGGTTTGTTCACGGCCTGCTGCTGCTGCTGGTGGTTCGCCGCCATGGCGCTCCGAGAATGAGAGAGCGGGAGATGAGCGGCGAGCTGCCTTACACAACCGACTCAGCAGCGCCCACTACAACGCCATTAAAACCCCTTCCGGATCCAGATATAACTAAAACGACATCCAGTCCGATACGCGAGTGTTAATTCAGCGAACTCAGTACAATTAAATAAGTTAGCAGTAAAAAATATATTTCTCCGGGCTAGCTGTGTTTTTCACTACTCGGCTAGTAAACCGTAGGACAAGATGGCTAACGCGTTGCCGGGGACGAGGAGGAAGCGGAAATTGCGTATGGGTTTATTTAAAATCAGTTTGTTTTGGTGCAATGCAGGCTTGTTTACCACTTTCTTTTAGTCTGCTTCACTTGTTCAGAGCTAAAATCCAAGCGTTTATTCCCTGTGATTAATATCGAATGATAGAGACGTGTAATAGTGCTGTACAATGTCTCGAACAGACACTTATTTGTGGACGGGCAGCAGGTGATTCTCCATCTCTCACTGCAGCAGACAGCAGCAGGTCCGGACGAGCAACGCGGCCGTTAAGGGGAATTCCACCAATTTTTCAAAATTTCTTAATAATTCAGTCCTTGGTATGTAAACAGTCATTCAGAGAAATGGTCCATTATAGAGACATAGCAGAGGTTTCTTTACAGTGGTGGTGATGGGAACCGGGGTCACGATGTCTACAGTACAAATATAGCCATTTTATTTTCTACCCAAAACGAGCAGTGAACCTACACGTGTCTTCTGAGTTTTTAAATGTAACGTCGATGTTTTGGCTTTGCCTTCTCTGCTGGAAAAAACAAAACAAAACAGAGAAACCATTAAGTGTTTCTGTTGCTTGGTTTTGTAAGGCGTTTTGGCTTTTGTAATAGATTATTATCACATTAAGGATCTTAATGGTTTAACAGGTGACCAATGGCTGATATTAAATGCATTTGATGGTTTCCCAGTGGGATCTACAGGAGTTCTACAGGACACTTAGTGGCCTGTATTGAAAACCATTAAGCCAATTCCCATTACAAGGCAAAACCGTTAGTTTTTAATCCTAATGGTTTCTAATGGTCCATTTCCAGCAGGATTCACTAATCCTTACACCATGAGTTAATTAATATAAACTTATTAAAATACAGTTAAGCCAAAACTGTATCAGAAAACAATGTGTCAGACATCAGGCATCCCATTTAACTCTTAGATCTCACAACACAAGGAGCACCACAAGCACTAGTACAGTTTACCTTCAAGGCTATCACATGTTGAAGTGTTACTGCTGCTTATGTTAAATGGGAAGAACGCTGTTGTAGTTTGGAAGGAATATTGCAGAGGCAGTTTTGTCTATAATGCAAAAAAAATAAAATAAAAATAGAAAGATTCTGGTGTAGTCCATCAATACATCTATTGTTGCAAAAGTTTTTGTACAAATATAAAAATACCTTAAAATATGTTAAATAAATATTTACATTATATAGTATTACAAGCTCCAGAGTGCTTTTACTTTTAAAGAAGCAACTACAGAAGACCAATATGAGAAACTAAATAGATGAATAAATTGAAATAAAATGTAAAATGTAAATAAAAAGTAGCTTGCAAAACCTACAATTTCAAAATCAGGACTGCTTGCTTTCCTCCTTAATAATAATAATAATAATAATAATAATAATAATAATAATGGATTTACATATCACTAAGAATTATTTAACTAATAAACAAAATGAACATTTTCTATTTTGCAAAGCAGGTATTTTGAGTTTACTTCAAATTTTATTATAATGAAATGTACCCATGAAACCATGAATTGATCAAGATTCTTAATCTGAATTTTAAATACAGTATTTAGTTGCACTTCGGAGTTGTACGTCAATAACAGAACCTGGACACTATTAATTTTTTTGGCAAGACTTAGAAATTCGGCAGTATTTAGATTTTTACATTTTGTTTTAAATTACAAAACTGTCTGCTGTTCCAATTTCTTTACGCTAATTATGCATCATCATCCTATGCGCGCTAAACGCATGCACAAATGTGGTTTAGTTTTACAGTAAATGTACATGGATCTTGGCATTATGCCCAGCTTCCAAAGTAATGATGTAATCTAGAATGAGGTCATTACAGCAGTTGGACTGCGAACATGAATAAGCATATGTACGGTCACCTCCATAATATGTAACCCTTTGGTAACGATGGGTGAAAAAAGATCATGAAAAATATTGTTAATTAGCTCAATCTCGTACTGAAAATATGAAAGAAATTTAATCTTTAATCAAAGCAAATTGAGGAAAAAATATGTATATATTTATTCATTTATTTGAACAAAATCCCTACAAATTCTTAGGAACAGAACATAACTAACGCATGTTGCTATTTATATTCCCCCTTAGATTGGATAATTAGATTAGAGGATACACAAATGAAATGATTAAGTGGACACTTCATACGTCGCACTTTACACTTAAACTGAACTAACAAACTTCACTTGCAGTATTACAGTGTAACTCCTTCTGTAGCAGAATACCTATTTGCATTACCGTATACATACTTTTTTTAACAAATGTTCATATCACTTTGTCGTTTTCTGTATGATAGGTTTATAGTACATTTCATAGTACATATCTACCTGACCTGCATATGTACAGACATTCATATCTGTATGCGCACAGATGTCCACACATCTCATTTGTACATCTCCTGAGCTCTTTTCATACTTGCTGTTTTTTATTATTATTCTTTATTCTACATTCTATTTATTGTATTTTATTTTTACCTTTCCTTTGGTTCAGTACTTGTTAAAAGCCTGTGTGCTGTCTGGTCTGCTTAGTATGTTAGGGTTGTGGTTGGATCTCCCAGAAGGACAGTTACTGAAAACATACATCCACACAAATTGGTTTAATGACCACAGAACGAAGCTGCAGTCCCAGTTTCCTGACCAAAACCCTTCTGGAAACCTGTGGGATATTATTAGGACCCTGGATGATCTGGAGACCTTTTGTATTGAGGATTGGTCTCAGATCTTTGCTCTGTATACTCCTTCAAAGATTACAGAAAATGACTCACTGCCGGGAACGGGAATAAATGGGATCATGCCTAGTTTTTAAACTGTTCTCTTTAATGATGCCTCTTAATGAGGCCTGTTGTATTTTTTTGTATGTGAAAACCAGACCACTTATTTCCACGTCACTTTCCCAAGCAGTGCAACAAGTGGGCAATATGACAATTAAATCATTATTGCGCTAAATTACAGTACGGTGCAAAGGTCAAAGACCACCTTTCATTTATTTAATTTCAGTTGTAACAGGAATTAAGTACACTACTTATTTTTCAGGAGTTACTTCTGAGGAGAGTAGATATAGGAAAATCCACTTGCATACAGAAAAGGAAAGTAAAAGGAAAAGAAGTGAAAAAACAGGACTCGACAAAGCTGGAGTTATTTTATTATTAAAGGAAACGGGAAATGGGACTAGTGCAAGCGTTCAAGACCTAGTAGACCACCAAAGCTCCATCAGATAAACAATAATTTAAGCTTTCACCTTCATATCCATCTTCAAATCTTTATCAAAATGTGTTTCTGTTTATCCTTCCACTGTGAGAAGACAACTCAATGCTATGGGTCTGAAAAGATGTGAAGCTACCCAGAAGCTATTACTGAGATATGTTTGGGATCACTTGGATTGTGATAAGCAGAAAATACAACCAACTTCTAAGACTGAACATGTAGATTTCTTCGAAAAACTGAAAGCAAGTTTACTTTAAAAGCTTTTGCTTGTTTGTCGCTGAGAAACGAGACTTGAACATAAGGGCCGTTTTGATTGGAGGTTAAATACCTGAAAGGTGTTGTCTGACTTTTGTACAGTACTGTACTTCACATCGTGAACACTGTCAGTAAAAAATACTGACCAACTGCATGTTTTATTACAAGGAGAGCATTTTAGTACACACACATGCACTATCTAAGCCGTTTATCCTTCTGGGTCGCAGGGGGTACTGGAGCTTTTCCCAGCGCTCATTTGGGCAGTAGGCAAAAAAACATCCTGGACAGGCCACCAGTCCATCACAGGGCTCATTTTAGTACAGTTTAAATGAATTCACTGTAACACTGTAGCAGCCTTTTTCTGTCATCTCACCAAACATATTGTGTATCATGAAAAGGTCTTTAGGTATCATGATGTTGCAAATTGTCTTAGAAAATTACATGAGCAGCTGTGACAGTAAATAATACACAGTATTATTTCAGATTCTGCACAGAACTACATAGTAATTTCCAGGGGAGACAACCCTCCCAGTAATTATAACTGGGTAGTACAATCCCCTGAATAATCAGTTCTGATAATGACTGTTTGGCAATAAAACATGACAGAAAAATTGTTTTTTGGGATATAATAAATGCTACTGTAAATCAATATTGCTAAAATAATATAATAAATGTTAAAAACATTTTCCGTTCCTGGTTCTAAAGAACCCAAGCTTTAATTTCTAATTTAATTTGTTCACACCTTTGTGCTCTTGAGTGTGTGCAGATTCTGTTCTTACCCAAGAACAAATCTCACATAAGAAAACACTGGTAAAAATTAGGAATTTTCAAGAAAACTGCATAAGTGGGTTTTAAGAACAATTTTTTTTCTTAAGAACAGTTGGCAAATGAGGCCCATTCATTGCTTCAATCATTTCAGAATCATCAAAACAATGAAACCATTTGTCAAACAGGCTGAGAAAACTAGCAGTAAGAATATAAATTAGAACAAGGACACAATGCCAAACTGCACATAAAAGACAAAGTGCTTAAACAAATCCTTTATAAAAATGTCAAACAGTAACATCCAATCTGTTTCTGAGGGTTTCAGTTCATCTTTTGTGCTCCTCTTTAAAGAGTAATGAAAATACACTGTTGCCATCAAACGTGCAAACCAAATTAAACCATTTTAACTATATTACAGACCAGCTGTAAAGGTTGGCAAGCTGTTTTAGGTTTTAATCCACTTGATATCAAAGAATGAATGTGAAGTAAAATGCTATTAATACTGGTTAAAAAAATTATGTTCATGTTACGTTAAATTCTTACATTTAAGAATAGAAAGTTTTTCTTTTTTGTGTAGGAATACCATACTATCATAACATTTTCATTGATCAAATTTCTGATATCAGGAAACTGTGGATTAAAATCTAAAACGTATTCCTGCAGATCAGCGACGCTCTTTTATTTGAGCTTGTTAACAGTGGACCAAAACTTGTTGACCACTAGAGGGAGCACTGCACCACTGGATTTGTTTTCAGTGTAGTATGTTGGCTGCCTGTCTTGGAGTGAAGTTAAACAACTTCTGCCACTTTGCCCATCACTCCCTGTCTAAACAGGATGTTGCCTCATCTGGGTCCAGCTCAAATTCTGCCTAGCGCTTAATAATCACCTGCTCAAAGGCACCGGCGCCAACCCTGAGAGAGAAAGAGAGACAGAGAAAGAGAGGCAGTGACAAATCAACAAGCTTTATCAGCACACACCCATCAATGACCTAGTACACATTATGTTTTCATAAGATATCTGTGCCATTAATTCATTGTAATAAGCTACAGCTAATCCCATACAAACACTACCAGCCATAATCACACAAGTGCAATGACACGGAAAGACACTGGTTGCCATAGTGACCTTGGTGAATGAGTCGCATATTAATACACACCTGGTGTGCTGTGTGCCCAACGCTGTGCTGCCGCCGGGGCCAACAAACAGCCGCAGACCTTCCTCTGCAAAACACATACACGTTCAGATGATCATTAACACAAGCACATTCCGCAAAGACACGTGTCCACAAAAAGTCTTTAATGGACATCTTTCAAATAAAGATGGACCAAAGATAGAAACAACATGGTACTTTTTTATCTTTTATATTAGAGGTCAGTTAGGAGGGATAAGTAACGTACAACTGCTGGTACTTCAGTGAAATAATGACAAATAGAAATAAAAAAAGTACCTCTCTGAAAAAATAACTCATGTCAAAAGTACAAAACTACTTCCAATTTTCGTGTAATTAAATTAAGATATATTCAAAGTCAGAGTGATCTTACATAAAACCTGTTACTTTTGTAAAAATAGAGTTTGTTCACAGTGGTGGTGACAGGAACCAAACGACTGAAGTGTGTACTGCCTCTAAAAGCTTCATCACAGAAAGTTATTACACAAAATAATTATGAATATGTTGCCTGACACCTTAGACGTTTTACAATACTTGTGGGATAAAGTTCTGGCTTTAAACTTATTTTTGAAAATAAAGTCATGCACTAACCCTAACGCTTAACCTTAACAGAAAACCTAAACCTAAACCTCACCCTGGTCCTAAGCCTAACCCTAGTACTAATCCAAACTTTAACACTACTGACAATCAACTGACTTTGAACAGATAATTTGTCAATAATCTATTGGGCGCTATCCAAATAAAACACGTTAAATTTTTTTTTTCCTGGATCACCATTTTAGCATTTATATATATATATGTGTGTGTGTGTATAAAATGAACAAGACGTGTAGGTCCTCACAAATACGCTTTAGTAAAAGTTAAAGTATTAATATCTGAAAATACTCAGGAGAGTACAAAGACATCAAACTTTTACTTTACATTTAACCGAGTAGTCTTATCATGCCTTGAGCTGAATTTAACTGTAGTGAAATACTGAATGGTAACTGACAAACTAATGCAGCTCTCTGTAGCTTCCACTATTCATTTGATTCATTCGCTTAGTTAGCTTATGTGTGTTTCTCACTTGACTACTGCACTTTCAGTGACATTGTTACGGCTCTGTCGCTCTGCTCTGCGTGGTATGAATGGGAAAGCACGCAGAGAGGCATGTCTCACAATTTCTTGCATCTAATGGGCTAGCTGTGTAAATGAGTAGCAAGGCACATTGAATAAAAGATGTTTTTTCCAATGCTATATAGACACGTTGTGTGTTGGTGCAGAGGAAGAAGACTCTTTAACTGAACAAAACAGAAAAGGGCACTGAATAACAACGAGAACAAGTGGGGGAGGTCACCTCTAGCCATACAACATCTACTGACGGTGAACACTAAACACACACTAAATAACCCACAGCAGAACACAATCAAACACAGCCAACACATAAACACATTTTAAACTAACAAACAACAACATTAACAACAACAACAACAACAACAATAACAACATATATCTGGAACGGAGTGGGGGGGTGTGGGCAGACATAGCTGTGCATGCCACACCCCTTGAACTCCTCTTAAATGCGGAGTATGTGGCAGACGCCACAATATTTCAGAGGCTGCGGAACTGGAGAGGAAAGTGCTGCCCCTTGCCAATGCGTAGGTCAATTCTAGGGTGTTTATTTGAAGGAACACACACACACATGCAAGGTTATAGCAGGTCAGTTCCTGCCACAAACACACATGCAGACCAGCATCCACACACAAACACATTCAATGCAGTTATCACAAACAGTCGCTACTCATTATGCTAGCTTGACTGCATTGTTTCATTTGGAAATTAACACATTCACACTGCTTGACATTCATATCTACCAGTAATTTACTAACATGCTTTCTTTGGGTTGGTTTTCTGATGGAATACACACACGCACACACACACACACACACACACACACACACACACACACACACACACACGGTTAAAGCAGGGAAATTCCTGCTCCAAAAGTCCTGTGCAAACTGCATCACAAGAAAGCTGCACACACGCATACCTACCTAAGACGCATCTACTGCTAGTTACTGCTAATAAAGACAATAGCTGCTTTAATGTGGTGTAGGAGAAAATAAGGATGTAAACCATTTAAATCTGACACCTTGAGAATGTCAAAACACCACAGTGACTTTCAGGACTAGGACAGCTGCAACACTATACATCAGTACAATGAGATGTCTTGTTGCTCTTGGGTCAATCAGGCTGTCAAAGGTGTGTAAAGTCAGCAGGTAACAATTGAGGAAAACTACCATAAAAAAGATAAACAGTACTATGCAAAAACACTTTTCAGTGTCAGAAAAGTAGGTAACATATTTAGCGAAAGGTTACACAGAAGCCTCAACAACTAAATATATACGTATTTCATTTGTCTACTCTTTACTTTTGTGCACTCCACAGATGTGCTGCCACGTTAACTCGTTAATCCTTCTAAACTTAAAGCCGACAAGTTACAGCCATGTCCTCCCAACAAGGGAGTCACTGACATTATGTTCTTCTCTTCAAACAGAATAACATTCACACAAACAACTACATAAACACGTTTTACCTGCTTTGCACATTTTCTTTCTTATGTGCATCTTAAATGGCTGAAGCAGATCTTTCTGAGGAGATGTATGATATATCCCATCTGTATAAGGAAGGGGAGGGTCAAAGAAAAATAAGTAGAAAAAAAATGGAGTTTCCAAAACTGGAGATCAAAAAATTATGAAAGCATAACGAGAAAACGATTCCTCACAACCATGCAAGAGCTGGTAGACCAAAACTGTCACCACCAGATAAACAGTACTTAAAGCTTTCATCCTTTCAAGCTCCATTCTTACTTCAGACTGAGAAGACAATGCAATAAGTGTGAAAGGATGTTCAGCTGTCAAGAAGTCGTCATTAAAAAAACTAAATACCAAAAGAAGACAATCTGCACCAGAAACACCGAAACTGGATATAGAAGAGATTTCAGAGGTTTTGTCTAAATTTGTACTTTGGATTACTTTGATCATGAGAAGCAGAAAATGCAACCAATCCCTGCAGATTTTTTTGAAAAACTGAAAGCAAATCTCCTAAAAATAAAACAAGCGGTGATAAAGGCAAAGAGTGGACACACTAAATAAAACATTTGACATTTTATATTTGGTTTTGGAGGCTTCTGTGTAATTTTCTGTTAAGTACGTGTTTTCTGCTTAACTTCTGATAGTAAACCATTAAAAACTAGTTAGAAAATTAACTAGATAAATGGGTGGTCTCTTGCTTTGCAAAGTGATGAAACTGCAAATCATAATAGTTCTAAACATCCTGGAGTTGATTTACATGAAATACATGTCCAAAGCAGCTATACAATGAAGCTAAACATAAACACAATGTTAATTAACTAGACCACCTATAAATAAGTGTGGTGCTATCTGTGTGTGTTTGTGTGTGCAGCTGTGACCAAAGCAGGCCTTTCCGTTTAACAGTATTGCTCAGAGCTGTGGTCCAACATGTAGCTTATATGGCTGTGACATTTGCCCTACTCTGTCAATACTCTTCCACTACTGCAACCTAAAACCTAATAGTCAGGACTGCATGTGTAAGATAAGTCTTTAACAAAATAAGTCTTTAAAATATAATCAATCTTTAAAATGATTTAGTTGGTCAATATTTTAGTGTTGCTTAGCTACGTATCAAAATTACTACAAGCAGTTTTAATATCTGGTTTAATGTACCATGGGAGCTAAATTTTGCTTTGTATTTTACTTTATATTTATATTCCACAAAAAACGCTTTAAAATGTTTTCTCTAAGAAATCTACAGTATGTAAGTGAAACTTTCATGCAACTATAGCTGTTTGAAACTTATATTAAACTGAATTTCACTTGAGTTGCATAATGTAAATTGTCCTGCAACCATCTCAACTTCAAGAAAAAGTTTTATGAAACAGCAAATAGAAATGCAGACAACGCATCATGTGATCACATAGAATGATATAAATTCCAACAACTGATTTCACCAAATCAATGGAAATGAAAATTAAACAGAAGCTGGTTTATTGGAGGGTTGAAAAGGAGATTCTCCTGATTGAGTTTGTGCAAGTTTGGTAGTTTCTTCTGAGCCAAGACAACAAACAGACATTTAAAGCTATAATTTTTGAAGCTAACGTTCTTCAAGCTAACGTTTCTGTAAACTGCTGGCTTAATGTTTAAATTGCTGCTTGTTCTTCTTTATTAATCTGCTGTGATCATGATCTACATAGTTAGAATCATTTTCTCCTCTCTTGATGTCCCGATTTTAGACAGAGCAGAGTTTCCTTGATGAACTTGTAGTGCAAGTCCTCAAGTACAACCATAATGGTTACTTAAACATTAATTTTCAAAGGCTTAGCATAAAAACAGAATAAAAAAGCCAGATATGTAATAAAGAACTATAAATAGACAGCAAGATAAATAGATAGACAAAAGATACAAAGATAGGTAAAGAAATATATGTTGCAGATCATTTCATATGCAGCAACGACACAACGAATAAAAAAATATATATATAAGCTACTAATTTAGCTAACTAGTGGAGAAACTGAATGTGTTGTGTGCAACTTTTTTTGATGTTTTAAAATTATTTCTGCTTGGTGTAGCTGTCAAGCCGAAAATAAGTTATGTTGCATGCAACTCACAACATGCAAACAGTTTCATGAAAGTTTCATCATGTGAAAAAGTTTCACCCGGAAAGTGTGAAAGCCAGTCTAAGAATGTAGTAGTAAACCAGTATCACTGTACTGACTGGTGTTATGTTATTCACTGTCAACACTTCATTAATTACCTGGTGGCAGAGTCATGAGCCCAAGTTAAGAATGTGGCGCCTGTAGTCTGATGTCTATTATCAGACCCCGGCTGAGTCATTTAGAACTAGTAAGCATGAGTAAACATTTCAGAGGCTGCGTTACAGTGTTAGTTTGTTACAGGGGTAGTTCTTATATTTGTGAGTGTTTTCGGTAGCATTGGTTTGTCTGTGCCCGTAACTATGGCAAGTACACCAAGGCACCATTCTGCAATGACCTCAAGTGTGTGTGTGCGTGTGTGTGTATACATGTGCGTGCATGTGCTTCATCTATTTGTTTTTGGTAGAGGAGTAACCAGGGTAACAGTGTTATTCTGACTAAGCCACAGTACCACAGATACTTCCAACATCTGTGGGAGGAAATACTAAACCAAACCTTCACTTCAGTAAAAGTAGAAATCACCTGGTGTAGTATTAGGGTATACTGGGGGAAGAAGCATCCCCGCTTCATTTATTATACGTTCCTGACAGGGTCAAATCTAATCTTGACACATTAACTTAATGGCTTTGGTCCCATTCATTTTGAAAATAGATCGAAATGACATTTCTTTGAATCTTTCTCTTGAAAACTTTTTAGGGTCAGCTGATTTTTTTGTCATTGGATAAATGTGATCTACAGTTGTAAGCAAAACACTCCCAGTCAAATCATATGTTTGGCATTTAGTTATTTGCTGAGTTTAAAATACTGGAAAATACTATGCAGAAGATGGAATAATTATACAGCCCACCAACTCAGTGAAATAACAATTTTATGTTTTGACAGGACGGTAAAACGTAAAAGTTTTGTTCGTATCTGTGAGTAAGTATGTTATGTTACACTTTAATGTGCGTTGCAAAAACACGTTGTTAAGGATGTGGCAGAAAGTGTGGCTTTTATGGTTAAATAAGCTCGGCTGATGTTATTTACAGAAACAGTTCAAATATATTTCTCTGACAAACTAACATGTTGGCACCCGTCCACTTAAGAAGAAAAAACCTGAAGATGATCAGTCTCCATGTACAGAGTAGCTGTAGCTTCAGCTAAATAGTTCTTCTGAGGCAGTCTCTGTTCTATTATTCATCTAACATGCCTGCCTATTTCCTTCAGCTATTTTTGTAAAAAATATGTTTTGAAATGTATGGTGTTGTTGTTCTTTTTGCTATACCACTGATATCATCTAAGAAACTAAGCCACAGTTCTACATCAAAATCAGGCAAAATTCATTTTTTGGCCTTGTTTAACCACAAATCCATTCATGAAATGTTATGAACACTTGATTATCAAAATTAGTTGGAACACATCCTTATTTCACAGAAGTACCAACATCTTTATTTGTGCTTGGCTTTAAACTACTCCACCCACCACTGGTGTGTACATACCTTCAGCACTGGAGTCCAGTATACTGTGGCTGAAATCTTGGCTCTGTAAGATTTTCTCTACAATGTCGTCTGCATCTACTCTGGTAGTGTCCATTCTTTTCAACTGGGATTCCATTGAATCTTGCTTTACTAGGTGCCTGAGACACAAAACCCCACAATCTTTATAAATGTCATTAAAGAAAAAAGTGTATACAAACAACTCCAAATGTAAACACAGTATATTTTTGAGCAACCACACACACTCCTGTACCTGTAGGCCCTGTCTGTGCTGGTGCAGGGTGAACTAAGATGCTGGGGATCGCTGGCTGCAGAGGAAGTGGGATGTGAAAGGATGGGCTCTCTGTCATCGTTGACCTCTGGTAGGCTGCCCACCCCTATTGATGCACTGCCCACTGACACGTTCCGCCTGTGGGAGAGCTCCGTCAAGCTAGAGGAGCATGAGTGACTTGTGCTGTAGCCTAGTGGAGACCATAATGAATCAGCCATGAGAGAATATAAATGGATAAACACTTAAGGTTACTGAAGAGTGTTATCTATGTCTCTTTGTTTGGGCAGTTTCATTAAGTCTGGCTTCTTTTTCAAACCACATACAAAATAACAAATAATACAATAATTGCTGAACTTCTGGAAACATCTGGAAACTGTGTGAAACTGTAAAATGTCTATTTAATTTCACTGGTTGTTTGAGAAATTTGTGAATTATATGATTTTGATCATAAGCTCTTAGCTACATGTGATGCATCAAAGAATGGCTGTGACATTTTTGCCACAGTGAACAAAAAACACAGCATGCAGGAATAACAAAGTAAAGAGCAGCTTTAGTAAAACAAAGATTACATAGCCAAATGAGTTATAATTTGAGCTTTGGTGTTGAAAAATTGCCCTATAATCTCCTGAGAATCTCTGACAGTGAGTATAGAGTAAAAATGCTCTTTAAACTTGGCACTACATAATATACAAGGTGCACGATGAGCTACTGCAATAGCACTTTAGTACTAGCACTGTGCTAAATACTTTACATTAAATACTATGCTGCAAACCTGACAGATAAATCTAAATAGTACAAATTATACTAAGCCTAGTGCCATAATCTGTCGTCGTCATTACAGCTATTATAAATAGCGTATTACAAACCTGATAGTTTTGACTGCTGGCTGGCGTAGCTGGAGGTTCTAGAGTGACCACATCCCCAGAGGTCCTCAAGAACAGTGCCAGAACGGTTCTTTCCTGGATTCTCTACAGAGTACAGAAAAGAAATCACATTTTAAAAACTTTATTCACATAACTAGCATTCATTATGCAAGTCACAAAAAAGAATTACCACAATAAAAAAGTATTTTGGATAGTAATTACAGAGTGAGAGTGAATGACTCACTTTGTGCTCTATGATTTTAAGAACAATGTCAGTTTGGAGTAAATTTGTTTGTTGTTATTTATTTCATACTGTAGAAGTATTGTAGTCATACTAATCAAATATAACTCTTTAGGTGAGTTTACCACGTTGCTACATCATCCATCATACCATGAGCTGATTTTGATGTTTCTTCTGCTCTTCTGTCCTCATCCAGACTCTCAGCTTCTCCAGGGATGCCAAAGGTCGTTGCTGTGGATACAGGCCTAAAGGGGTCATTAAAAAAAGAAGATGACTTCAACAACAAACAACAAAACAGATAATTAGTTGCAAATTATGCAAAGGTGCATCCAAACAACATCACCACTGTCATCTTGGGACAAAACCTTGAATGCAATAAGTCTTGATGATGCGTTGATTCTATTAAAAATCAAGAAGGTTGTATTGCATCTTACAATAAACTTAATATCCAGAACGCTTCATATTCAAAAAGCAGTGGCCACATTTTACTGATCAAAAAGCCATTCATAGTAATTTTGTGACAAGCAATCACAATAAATGATTGCAGTTAATTTTACCACGTCCTAACTTCTCATTGTTACTAAAATACTGTAAAATCAGTATAATAGTAGTCGATTGACAGAATACAGATCTCAAAATTAGACTTAATCTTGATGCTGAAAAACTGCATTTGCTATTCTTAAACTTATTATAGTAAATGTTTTCATTTTAATTGTGAATAATCCATTGGTTTACATTTTGGTGTACAGTTTTTAACATTTCAGTCTACAGTATATAAGTTATTACTGAATAACACTTATTATATGACCAGTCATTCCAAGCTTTTGAATGGTAGTGTATGTATCTGTACTTGTAACGCACAGTTGTTAATAGTTTCTCATAGTCTGGTGCAGTATATGCTACTATTTCACACTTGAACAAGTCAGTCAGACAGTCTGGCACCACAAAAGTAGCCAAATACATTATATTTAAAGACAACAATGACATATATCACATATAAGTATACTTAAGAAGTGATTCAAATAAACATACTGAGAACACTGCCCTAAGAATCGCGTAATTACATAAGGCAATAGGTAATCAAACCACAGTTGATTAAACAGAGACGGAGATCAAAGGTAAATCCTGTAAGCCAACTGCAACGCTTTCGAAGCTCTCCAGCTTCAGTCCCTTTGGTAAACACTATCAGAGATGGCAGGAAGTAAATGAGCCAGACTTCCTGTGAGCCCTCAGACACTGCGGTCAGACACAAACTACATTGTGAAACTACGAGGTGCTGCAGAAAACCTGCCACACGTTTGCACACACGCAATCCACTGCAGCACTGTTTACTACTGTTATCCATTATGAACTAAGAGAAAATCTTACGTTTTGAAGCAGGGATCACCTGACATCAGCTGCATACCGATAATCACCTTTTGAAACAAAAACAGAGACAAAGGAACTGTTATTTATTAGAATCATTATTAAGGATAAACAATTATTCCTGAATCATAAGTATGAGCAGACAATTGCTTAAAAAATCCCCTGGAAGAGCAGAACGTTGTGCTTATACATGAAATATCTGAATTGTGTATATAATATCTGTGTTGGCAAATATGTATGTAAAAAATATCAGATATCGGCATCAGCCCACAATTCCCATTTTGCTCTATATCTAGTTATTACTATTCCTAATTAATTCCTCATTGTAATAAACAGATTTATGCCTATCTGAGCAGCATGTTTTATTTGTTACTGTACCCTTAAGACTGATATGTAAATGAGCTCTGTTTTGATTGGCTGCCCTGTATCATTTGAAAAGCAGTCCAGGCTGAAACACTACTTATATATAATTTATATATATTATAATTTATATATTTATATATAATTTAAGAGGCATGGTGTTAACTGCTGTATGTTGAATAGGTGGATTTATGGCAATGTGATGTGACATCACAGAAACATTGTGGGCTGATTTTACAGCATAGTTTCCATATATAGGCTGTATGGACTGGGGAGCAAATGGTACAATTTGAAACTTTAACAGCGTTTACATAACATTAAACTATGTTATTTCCAAAAAAGGGAGATTAAACTGTTTTCCCATGATACAGGCCCTTTAAAATATAATGCTTAAAAAAGCTCAATCACAGAGACGGATTAAAGGATACAGGTCATTTATTTCCCCTGCAACAATGCTCTAAAGTTTACATTTATGGCATTTACAAAAACAGCCCATTTTGAGTTCACTGATTCTGTGATGTCAGGAAAACATATATGGGCCCTTTCAGCCTACAGCAGTTTAGCTCTGTCCATTCATGCTGACGCTTACGGAGTGTTGTAGCCCGGGCTGCTTTTTGAAAAAGGCACAATAAATGGCAGCCTATCAGAACAGAGCTAATTTAAATATATCAGTTTTAATGGCACAGTAACAATTGTAATTCTAAGGGTAAAGAGAGGTTAGAAAATGGTCATATAAAAATGACGTCTTTTTTCCACCCTCCAGTTACCACATAGTTAGGGCTTCACTTTATGATTCACAAATCCCTATTTATGCCCACAGCACAACTCTGGGCATGCAGAGAAAGAGAAAGAGAGGCGGGGGAGAGAAAGTGTGTATATACTTTGAGTATGGAGTTGTCCTGGCGCGTGTGCTTGGTGTCGTAGCCCTCTAGCAAGCAGCGCCGCGTTGTGCTGCCTGAACCAGCGAACTCAGCCAGATTCAGATCTGTAAAGCCAAGCTGTGACACACACAGACCCAAATACACACAACAAATGAACACATGTGAACACTACACTGTTTTCTGAATGATGACTACAACAAAAGTTTATCCAAACTACACATGATAAACATTTATTTCAAAAAAATACTCCACACACTCCACACACCCAAAACAAAACTGCAACTTTTTTGTGCAGCAGCAAAGCCCAAAATTGCTTCCACTTCCACATGCTGCCAGTGCCATTTCTGTATTTGTTTTACTACAGAGACCATTGCAGTGTGATAGCAAGTTAGTCTCCTCTGTGAAGTACACTGTTAATCTTGTGCTGCTGATATAGACAGACTTATGTGAATGACCTTTATTATAGGTTTTCAAAGCATCACATCATCCTGTTATATGAAGGTACTTTAAAGGGGAATTCCACCCATTTTTTGAAATGCTGTCATAATTCTATAGTTGCCATGTAAAACAAACTAATTCAGAGTGGCTTGATGTGAAAGTCTCCATTCTAGGGAAACGTACAGCGTCACTGAAAAAATTAGGAACCACATGTTGAAAGCACTGAATGCCTCTATAAGCCACCTCACAGAACGTTATTACATAAAATGGTCCAAAAAATGGTGCCTGATGCCTGAGACATCGTTTTACAATAGTTTAAAGATAAGCTTTTGGAATAAAACATATTCATTGAAATCCATACATGGTGGTATGGTACATGCAGGGCAAAACAGACCCCAAAGAAAGCTTATTATTTTACCATTATTAGCATTACATGTAAAGTCAGAAACACACATATGTTTGGTCATTTTGAATAGTACATAAAATGGCTACATATGTATTGTAGATGTTTTGACCCGTTTCTCTGCAATGAACCATTTAACATAATACATAATACATTCCAAATGACTTTGTTTAGAATATTAACTACACAGACATTTTGAAAAATTGGTGTAATTCTCCTTTAATTTCAATTTTTGCCCATTTAACTGTTAGTTTGATCTGTTTAAACATACAAGCATTTTGAATAGTCACAATTAAAAATAAGACATGTAAGACACATTACCTTCGCAAACGTCTTGCCACCTTTAAGCTCCTTAAATCACAAAGAAAAGAAAACATAAAACACTGACAAAAGCAATCCACAGATGAAAGCATGCAGTATCCAGTCTGCAGGTCTATTTATGACATAACAGCAGTCATAGAAAAATATATCAAATGTCCTTCTATGGGCTGCAAAGATCAACAGCCAAAGAATTTGTTACTCACAAATGTACACATGTATTTAAGTTTTGCTCTGACCAAAACTTCAAGTGAGCTGCATGGCAGTCGTTGATGATCCTTAAATAACAGCAGTTCATTCTGCACATTTTTAGAATGAGGGTAAGAAATTCTACCTTTACTTTCTCACCTTTCTCACTGACACTCTGCACACACATGGGTCCAAAACTCCAGTTCCAGCATTTGCGCTCATCTTACACAAGAAGGAGAACCTCTTTCTCCACCGCACACAGTTTGCTAGAACCGGCTCCCTAGAAAAGACACAATGAAACAGTAGAATCAATGAATGCATGACAACGCTGCGCAATATGATGATATTTTATTGTTATCATAATAATTGTCACAATACCCTTTTCTGAGCATATCATGGATATCATCAGTACTTCAATACTGTTTGGTTGTAAAGAAAACATAATTAATCCTGTTTAACCCCCTTAAAACCCCAATCTTCTTACATACTAAGGTTTATTATTCAGTAACATCAGGTACTTCAATTCAAACTGTTTGAGCTGTTCTTAAGTTATAGAAATGTGTTTGGGCCTGCCAACGGCCCTGGCCATTTAAGGGGTTGCTTGGATTTAGTGCAGCGCAGTTTGTAAAACACTGAATAAAAACTGTAGTTGTAGATGTTTTTATTATTATTATTATTATTATTATAGTATTTTTATATGTGGCACTACAGGTTCTACAATCCCATTTCAAAAAAATGGGGCGCTGAGCAAAATGTAAAAAAAAGAAAATGCAATGATATGCAAATCACATAAACCATATTTTTAAAGGAAAATACTACAAATACAACATATCAAATGTTGAAACTGAGAAATTTTTATTGTTTTTTGAAAAATATATGCCCATTTTGAATTCATTGAATTCAACAACATGTTCCAAAAATGTTGGGATGGGGGCATGTTGTCGTATTTTTCATTTTATAATGTGCCAAATATTATCTGTTATCTATGTTATAGATCTGGACCATTGGCAGGCCAGTTTAGCGCCCGGACTCTTTTAATACGGAGCAATGCTGCTGTAATACACGCAGAATGTGGTTTGACATTGTCTTACTGAAATAAACAAGGCCTTGAAAAAGACGTCGTCTGGATGGCAGCATATGTATATATCATTCAACATTAATGGCGCCTTCACAGATGTGCCAGTCACCCATGCCATTCACACTAATGCACCCCTGTACCATCATGAATACTGGCTTTTGAACTGTGCACTGATAACAAGCTGAGTGGTCTTTAGCCTGGAGGACACAGTGTCCATGATTTCCAAAAAAAATTTAAAATGTTAATTTTTGGACCACAGAACACTTTTCCACTTCTCCTGAGTCTCCTGAGCTTGGGCCCAGAGAAGGTGGCAGCATTCCTGGATCCTGTTTATAAATTGTTTTGTCTTTGCATTTAAGAGTTTTAATTGGTATTTGTGGATGCAGCACCAAACTGGTTTCACAGAAGTGTTTTTCAGAAGTTTTTCTTAGCCAATGCACTGATTTCCACTAGAGGATCATGCCTGTTTTTAATGCAGTGAAGCCTGAAGGCCCAAAGATCACGGTAGATGATGAAAAGCAAAAGATCTTTGCTATTTTATGTTGAGAAACGTTATTCTTGAATTGTTGCACTATTTGCTTGTGCAGTCTTTCACAGAGTGATGAACCCCTCCCTATCTTTACTTCTGAGAAACTCAGCCTCTCTGAGATGCTTTTTTATACCCAATCATGTTAGTGACCTGTTGCCAATTAACCACCAGGTGTTTTTTTTAGCATTACACAACTTTACCAGCCTTTTTTTTGCCCCCGTCCCAACATTTTTGGAACGTGTTGCTGGCATCATATTCAAAATGGGCATATATTTTTCAAAAAACAATAAAATTTATCGGTTTCATCATTTGATATGTAGTCTTTGAAGCATTTTCAATGAAATATAGGGTTTAAATGATTTTAAATGAGAGTTAATAAGATAATGAGAGTTCAAGGCTATTTTATCTGCTCTGATAAGATAAGATAATCCTTTATTATTCCCACAGCAGGGAAATTCATGAACTGTTGAGACTTTCAGCTTTAATTTACATCTAAACTGGGTGAACAGTGTAGTCATTACAGCCACTCTTATACAGCCCTGCATTTTTCGGTACTCAAAAGTAATTTTACAAACTAACAATTAGAAATTACATCATCATTCTTAATGCTTGGTTATAAATTTTGCAGTGAATGACTGCTCACAGACACTGTGCTTCTTTCCTGGTGATACTCTGCCAGACCACAGCAGCCATGTTCAGTTCCTGCTTGTTCCTGGGCCATTTAACCTTCAGTTCTTCTATTTCTAAGTGAAATACGTGCTCAGTTGGGTTGAGGTCAGGTGACTGACTTGGCATTGCAGAACATTACACTTCTTTGCCTTAGAAAAAGTCACAAGTTGCTTTTGCTGTATGTTTCAGGTCATTGCCCATCTGCACTATGAAACGCCATCCAGTGAGTTTTGAAACATTTGGCTGAATCTGAGCTTATAATATAGCCCTGTTCAGAATTCATCCTGTTGCTTCTATGAGAAGTCACATAATAAATACAAGGCAACCAGTTCCACTGAGAGCTATACATGTCCATGCCATAACACTACCTCCACCACATTTGACAGATGAGGTTGATTTGGCCACACCTAATGTTTTTGCTATCTGTCTGATGGGTTTGTTGTGATTTTTCAGCACCATGCTGGCCTGCTTCACTGGCAATGACAGCTTCTTGGGTAACAGGCTCCAAATGCAAATGCCACACTCAAACTCAACTCTGAACCTTTCATCTGCTTACTTGTAAGTGAAATATGAAAATGTTTGCAATTACTACACAGAAAATACCCTAAAGTCTACACTTTAAGCTCATATTAATTATTACATAATTACACACAACTCCAATACACTTTGGCAGACAGCTAAAATAACAATAACTTTGTCCAAATACTTATGGACCTGACTGTAATTCTGTGGCCCTGCACGTCCTTGATGACACCACATATGCACAACAACTTTGGTACTGCCACCCGGCCTGAAAAGAACTCCATGGCAAACACTTTAAATCTAGAACAACTTTAGTAATGCTTATCTTTATCATTCAAATATCATTTTTTATATCATATATTACACATCAACTGAAACCTTGATTTATTTGTGAAATACAGCTTTACTACCCTGTACTAATGTATAGCTGAAAACATAATAACATGAAAAGGCTGCTGTAAATGTATGTAAATTAAATGCAAGTTCATTTAGTACTGATAAATGATATTGCATATTTTTGCCATTTTTTATCAAACCATTATCAAATAAAACCAAGGCAACCCTTAGTTTGTAAATTAAAAGAACAAAGTGCAATCATTTTGTTTTTGTAGGCTCCCTGCCCACATCCACTAGGTTAAAAGTAACACTGCATGTCAAATTCCAGATTAATGTTCTTTGGGTGTGTTGATGAATCATTGTATTTATGCAATCCAATACAGAATACTGGATTAACATGGTAAATATTTTTGGTCAAAATAATGCAGGCCAATCATAAACCATATAACACCAAGGGCTCACCAGGGTCTATTACGAAGTTGCACGACAGAACTGCACATTATATTGTTTGTTAATCGTTATCACGGTCTTGGCTTTTGTGATACCGATACTGTAAAAGGCTGCAATATGAAAATATGTAAGCATCTTATCATAGTTCAATCATAGTTCCAGATGAGTGTTTCTCTATGTGTTTTCTATAAATCAAGATATTCATGTCCAACAAAAGTAACCAGGCCAATATCATTGCTCCACCAATATGTTTTTAAATATTATTGGAGAATGTACTGCAATACTAATATACAGTAACTGCAGTCCTGATACACTGTCCATATTGTGCAGTTCTATTGTAATGTCTGGCGTAATCTCAATCATCATTGCAATGAGAGCTTCTGCAATAAATGTGTAACACTGCAAAAAATCTTGGTGAGTGAAAACATCCTAAAGCTAGTCAATATATCTAATATTTCTTAATATTTTGAGTTTTTTGTAAGAATATTGTACAACATAACTTATTTCCAGACATTTTAACTTATTTATCGTCATTTTATCAGGAGAAATGATCTAATTCTACTGGCAGATAATTTTGCTTGTTTCAAGAAATAATGTCCAATCTTTCAGACTTGTCTACTCTAAGCAGTGCTGATCTGGTGATGGAGCAACCGTCGTCAACCTAAAACCCCCAGGAGTAAACTCCATGTGGCACCGATGACGAAGCACAGGCCCTCAAGAGTGCAGACCACTGGCAGCCAGAATGTTTGCACATTTGGAAAATGCCCACGGTCACCATGGAAAAGGAGGCAGACATGGACTGGCTCGCTCATAGTAGTCGGTTCTGCCCACAACTGCCACTGACTCATGCGCTCATAGATGTTATCACGCATCCCTCAGCCTCACTGGCCAGGAACACATGCAGCATGTTTTAAACTAGCAAAGCTCCGCAGGGAATTACCTACCGTCTCAACTTTCATTTCCCAGTTACAAAAGACTACTAGCCTCACTCCTCTAGTATCACTAAGTTACTGCTACCACCATTGCCACAAATATAGCAACCATTTATTACATGCATAGTATGTGCATGCATTACTGCTACTGTACCATTTGTATCTGCGCATACTTTTATTTATTTATTTATTTTTTTACCTGGTACCTCCTTTATTATCGACCACAGGGAGAGGATGTCAGCTGGTGTCATATCTGCTCAATTAAGATTCTTTTGTTATGAAGCAACCTGTTTTCATAGCTCAAGGACGATTCTTAAGAATGAGTAGTTTTATTTTTCTTGATAGGCAGCAAAACGGCACATTTTACACATTTAAAACAGCACTTAGTGTTGTGGTAAACTGACTAAACTATTCTATAGTGTCCCATTCGTGCCAGGTAGGGGAGCCAAATGACCTATGTTTTTATTTTCCTTCCCTGTGTCGGACAGCAGTATTTTGACTTAGTGACTTGAAATAATGATTTACTATGTCAAAATAATGACTTGAAACAGTGATGATGTATGTTAAAAACACACACACATACTTTTAAAAAGAGCCCAACTGTGAAAAAAAGAATGCCACTTGAGTTTCTCTGTCTAAGGTGCTAAGAAAAGTGTTCTTTGGAGCAATGCCTCGGAACAACCACTTTCAGTTCCTTATAGAACCTTTTACTAAATGGTTCTTTAATGAATTCTCTCAACAGAAGGTGCTTTCGGAAAGCAAAAGTGGTTCTTCTATGCAAAGTTCCAAAGAACCCTTGTGGACCCTTTAAAAGTGAAAGCTTTTTAAATTAGCTCATGTTCATCATCTTATGAGTGTGTGCTAAAATACAGAGGCCTCTCACATGGAGAAAGGAACTCTTTGTAGAATCAATCACTTAGATGATGTTCATCAACTATGAATCTGAATGGGCTCAGAACTCAGTTGATCAGGTGACATTTATCACTCAGTTTGGGACACTTCTACTAGGCACTTGATTCATTTAACTAGTCAAGATTCTACCTCATTAATCAGAGATTACAAGAGATCACAAAGGTTAATGATTTCTTCTACTAATGGCTTAAAACGACATTACCATATCAATTGCTGTCATTGTGCCTATGAACTAGAAAGAAGAAATGCAATGTACCAGAAACCAGAGTTTGCCAATCACATTAGTTTGGTTTGGTATGAAGCAAAAAACTCTGGGCCTCTTCTTAATAAACCCTCAAAGGCCCTGAGGCTGCCCATTTTCACACTAATGATTTTGCTCACACTTTTTTTTTGCACCACTCTGCACTGCTATGAGCTTTTCTGCACTGTTGTTCATACTATGTGTCAGAATAGCTGCACAGCAATAGTTAAAGGGGAACTCCACTAACTCTTTAAAATTGCTGAATAATTAAGCATATTATAAAATTATTAAGAGTGGTTTGATGTAAACTGCTATATTCTGGAGAAGCTTATCAAGTCACAATCGTTCACAGAGATGGTGATAGGAACTAGACATCTGAAGGGTTATATATATTCATGGCAGAGAGCTGGATACTAGGTGTCGTAAGGCAAAAGAATACCCAAGGAAAACTTATTTTTTCAGATTCATTACTGTTTTATCATCATTAACATTACATATAAAAACTCAGAAGACGTGTAGCTTCATTGGTCATTTTGGATCTTAAATAAAAAGGCTATGTTTGTGTAGAGACTCCTGGTTTCAGTCACATCACTGTAAAGAAACCTGGGTCAGTAAGTTTCTTTACTTACAGTGAACTGTTTAACATCAAACTGCTCTAAATTACGTTGCTTACAACTCAACAATTGTATTATACAGTGTTTTTGAAACACGATGGAATTCATCTCTAAGCTGTCCAAGTCAACAATACTGCAGTTACCTGCACAGCCTATACTGTCTGTTCATAGGGGTTACAGTGTTCATTCATATAATGCCTGCAAGACTAAGGAATTAACTTAGACTTTTCTATATTCTGTGTGTGTATATATATGTCATATAACTTTACAGGACTGCAAAACACTCTTGCGTTTTGTTAAAGATGTTAGCTTACGTTACGTTGGTGGTCTGCTTTTCTTTAGAAAAGTGAAAACCAGAAAGCAGTCAGCTCCATGGCACAAGCCCTTCTGAGGTTTACCACAAGTTTCCTTTTCTAACTCGGTATTAATACCGATACTGTCAAGTAATGAGTTTCTATGTCCAGAACTGTGATCATGTTAGCTTTTCAACTACCTCTAACTAGCGTTAGTGCGGGAGTTGGCACAGAAATAAACTTTTTTTCCAACAGATTTTGGACTTCTTACCTTGACGACTCCCCTGTGAAGCCTCCATCCGTCAGCCTGACTTTACAAAACAAAACACCGTTCACAAATGGCACAGACGACAGTTCTTCCAACTCGAAATCTACTTTAAATTTGAATTTCTTTTTCTTCATCATGATGAAAGACATTAGGCTATTGTAACGTTAGTTAATATTGAGCGAGGCAGCCCCTTTCTGGAGAGTTTCAGCTGTAGCAGCACCTGACAGCCTGAGCGCCGATGCTTAAGTCAGGGATTTTTGACTGTAACTGCAAGAACGTTGGAGCGTTTTTTTCAAGCGAGCCGTTGAGCGAATGAATTTTAAGCAGCATCTACTCTTCAAAATAAAAGTCCTTAGGGCTGAGTGTTTCTCCAGAGAATTTATAGAGAGGAGAATTACCACTCTTCAATGTCTTCCGGTTTTCTCAAACGCTAGAGGGCGCTCCCGAGTGAGTCCAAAATGAATGGGCTGATATGGAGCATTTGAGCACAATCATAGTTTATAAATGCTTAAACATTTTTAATGTAAAAGAATGCGATCACTGCCTGAACACAGAACAACATAAAACATTTTAACACTGCTGTTATATTTTTAAGAGCTTTAAAACTCGAGTTATAGGAGTTTAAAACTGCACCCATGTATGTCCATGACGTCAGCGAACAAGAACAGCCAATGAGCTGCTCCGCTCGCCAATCAATCATCACGCTCTAGCAGTAATGCCCGCCTTCTGCTGCCCAAAACCCGTTTGCTGTAGAAAAAAGTAAATATATATGGGGGGTTTCTTTATTTTTTTAGTGAAATACATCCTTCTACTTTATAAAATTAAAGAAAAGTTCTGGGTAAGTGATTAGAAACTATTTTAACTTTTCGTTTTTAGTCGTTGAGCTCCCTTTACTCCCATTCATTGAGGACTCACTCGCGGGCGCCCTCTGCTGTTTAGCAATCCTGTTTTTGATATAACGGGAGTGGCCAGGCTCCTCATAAACCGGCTCTGGTTACTCCTGCTGCGTTCCGTTTTACAAAACATCGTACTCTAATAATAAAAGTCACATCCGTTTTTTTTTCATAAGTTCATTCCTAAAACATACTTAGAGTGTCTTTCAAATCTAGACCTACATGTAAATTAAACACACTCCACTCTGTCGAGTAGTGCTACTTAAGTAACAATAAATATAAATGCCCAAGAAATGCAAAACAATAAAAAATAGTTAAAAATATTACACACACACACACACACACACACACACACATCATCTAAACCGCTTATCCTTCTCGGCCGCTGAGTTAAAAATATTACATCCAACATATTCAGATATATACTTTTTAATTTTTTAATGTATACTATCTACCTTTAATATCAAATTATCAAAAAGCATTTTTAGGAATTTTTGAAACTGTAATAAAAATAAACTAAAACATCTATTTACATAAGTATTCAGACCCTTTACTATGACCCTGCAACTTGAGTTAATTTGCATCCTAATTAATTTAATCAACCTTGATATGATACTAAAACTTGACTGTGGTTGTGGCAAATTCAACTGACTGGACAATTGACAAGACAATGGTCCTTCTTGAACCCAGTCTAACAGAACTTTAGACATTCTTTTCAGATATGGGAGAACTTGCCTAAGGGACCACCATCTCAGCAGCACTCTATCAGTCATAACTGGATGATAAACAGGCTAGATGTAAGTTTGTAACAATTGAGAGAGGGAATACATTTTAAAGGAGGAGGCATAGATAAGTAGAGGTAAAATTTATTTATTTATTTATTTTTCATTGTCGATATCGCCATCTTGTGGACTGCAAATTATTACTTTTTTACCATATATTTAGGCCTGCTCTTAATCCCGGGCTTCCAAATACAGATACTATGGAGTCACTGGGCAGATTGAAAACTTATAAATAGCTTTAGTCAATTTACTTCATGCTGCTTAGTGGAAAAATCTATGTAATCAACTCCTTCAGTCCTACAGTTTATGGTCTATTTTACTGGGTTCTTTGTGTAGATTTACACTTACAATATTTCTAGCATATTAGCATATTTTATTAACATTAACATGTTTTATAAATCAGAACTGCAAAGCTGAACTACTAATCAGAACTGGATTTGGAGCAGACTTTGCCAAATCCTCTCTACAATCCTCTTTACTAAATTTACACCCAAGTTTTTTGTAAAGAGCCCAGAAACTCTGATCTGATTATAATGTCTGTGTAGTCACGTTATGAATGGATTAACTTATGCCTACTGAAAGATATATATATATATATATATATATATATATATATATATATATATATATATATATATACTGTTTACTGTTTACTTATATAAATATATTGTTTAGACACAAACAAAACTTTACATTAATAATTTATCCTGAAAGGAGTTCATACTGCCTAGGGTTCTCCAACTCCAGTGATGTGACTCGGTTTATAGTTGCTTACTCTGCACAGTTGTAAATATGTGAGAAGGAGAAAAAGCACAGGAAGTTCTATTTGGGTTTTTCTATGGGACTTTTATCTGGAAAAATCTCATTAAAACAAGCAAACGTAGGAGCAGTTGCTATGACAACGCAGAAGCCCTGTCTCCTAGGAAACAGTAAACACGTTCTGTGAGAGGAGGAGAGTGGACCTCTCAAACTTGTCTAACCCGCCGAGCTGCTCTCATAGGAAGCTCGTAGAAATCATTTCAAAATTCCCGGCTTAGAGAGATGGAAGAATTATCACCTTTCCAGAGTCTGCAGGCACTTTCGGCCTTGCTGTCCACACCAGCAGACGAGGAGAGCGACGAAGAGGACGGAAAGGTAAAACTAGCTAGCTGGCACAGAGGGCCCAGCTTAGCTTCCCTGGCTATCTTCTATAACCTAGCTAACTCCTTCTAGCGGCGGCTCCAGAGAACCTCTAGAGGTTCTTATACAGGCTCTGGTTGATCACTGTAGCTAAACATTTAAGTTAGGCTGCTGCTGCGTGAAAATATCTCATAAACACATGCAGTCAGGCCAATTGTTAATACTAAATTGCCCCTAGGTGTGAGTGTGTGTGTGCCTGCCCTTTCATGGACTGGTGACCTGTCCAGGGTGTTAGCTAACTGTATGCCTTCCGCGCAATGAGTGCTCCAGTCCCCCCGCGACCCAGGAGGATAAGCAGGTTTGATGATGATGAATGAATGAAAAAACAAACCAACAATACTCGAGTAAACTACACATTTTCCAAAAGTTTACTTAAGTATTTCAGAAAAATACAATTACGCCAGTATTCTCCACCCTTGCGAATTTGACCCCATGAGCACACATGAGAAATAAATGTAAATAAATCTCTTATTGTTCAAAGTCTGATTGTAAATTTTGTCATTAGTTGAAAGAAACAACCACAGTCCAGAAACAAGAGGTTTTGTCACATTTTTTTGGAATAACATGCATTGTGCCACACACAGGATTCAAGTTAAAAGTTTATCTGTTTAAGAGTAAATTGCTGTTGTGTTTATTGGCCGGATGAATGTATAATGAGCTTGTATCTTTTTTGGTACCTCTAAACACTAAAGACCATTTTTGAGTGATGCAGTTCTTCTCAGCATAAATCTTGCCTCAGGGAAAATGTCCTTGCTTCCGTATGTAAACATTTAGTCTTTCAAAAGCCATTTTCCCTCTACACAGAATGTGAAACAAATGGTGAGAATGGGCCCGGGACACATTGGTGCTCCTTCCTCTGCTTCTGAGAAAGAGGAAAAAGCAGGTGAGCCCTTAAAATCCACCATGACTGTGTAATAAAGCGTATGTTGAGATCAGTAATGCAACTCACCGACTTTACTGACATTCCAACAAACTGTATGATGAGGATTGTACACATTTATTTGCAAATATTTAAATTAAACCGAATAAGTCCTCTTTTTTTGAAATATAAGTTTGATGTAATATGTAAACATCGCTAAAGTTTCAAAACATACTGTTCACTCCCCAGTCCATGCAGTCTATATAAGGAAAGTAAACTGAAAGTTTTTATGATGTCATGAAAATCAGTGCTTGCATATATGTGCCTATTCAACCTACAGCAGTTTAGCCCTGCCCATTCACCTTGAAGTTACAGAGCTCTGAAATTTGAAATAGACACAATACAGGGCAGCCAATCAGAACAGAAGTCATTTACATATATCAGTCTTAAAGGCACTGTAACACAAACAGCTTGTTTAATTCTAAGGGTTAAAGAAAGTCTAGAAAAGGGTTGTGCAAAAATGAATTATGATTGTTATAAGGGGACTTCAAAGAAAAAAAAAATTAGTGGAAGAAAAATGTGTGATATGAACATTTTGAGACTTGTGCTCAGAAGAACCAAGTATGATAACAAGTAATCCAAATACCTCTCTTGCGTGCTCACATGTATATTTGTGTGCAAAGTCAACAGTGCCTATTTGAAGAAGAACACAAAAGACATCTGGAATGTGGAGGAGGTGACGGAAGGGACGCACCTTGATGACCTCGCAGATCATCGTCCCCAGCCTGAGTGAGTGTGTAGCAGAATACTCTGCTTTTCAAATAATGGTTCAAAGAGAACCATTTCAAATGCCTTAGAGAAACCAACATGCTGCAGAAACAACCTATACAGTGCTTTCTCTTGTAGGCATTTAGTGTGTTGGGATAATAATCTTGTTTTGTTAATTTGTTTATGCTTTTAGCTATAAGCCCCTACATGAATACTGTTACCTGTAAAAAAAAGAAGAACATTGGTCTTATTTTGTTTTGTTTTTGTTTTTTTATTTTAAAAATACAACGCCAATAAAGCGTTGTAAAATATACAAGCCTTAAAGTATGGAGTAATGGGCAGTTCAAAAATTCTAAAGAATAATCTCTTTGGCCGCAACCATGCTGGTCATGACAACCTGTTGTATAGCATATGAGAATGTGGGTAACGAATTAAGGGAGTATCCACAAATTATAATAATGGGGATGTATATGAATGTATATGGACCATTCTACTAAATTAGTTCAAACTGCGGTCCTACAGTAAAAAGGACTTTTATAATGATTAAATATTAGTTATTATTAAGTATTCAGACCTTAGATATTTACAAGGATTATGTTTTAAGGCATTAATTGAGATAGTAATGAGCCATATATATATATATATATATATATATATATATATATATATATATATATATATATATATACTACCGAAACACAAAGAGTTTCAGTCCATACATGGAGCCTTATTTTAGCCACACCCTTGCATTTTTAGATCGCGTTGTTTTGTAGTAAATGTGTCCCAAAGTCTGAAAATCAGTGTGAAACATTAGGAATAGTCACTACCAAAACACATTTTCTACAGTCAAGTAAACATTTTAGTGTTTTAATAAGAAATATTGTGATTTTATGTGTTCGCAACTGTTCAAAGTCGTGCTTGCTAGTCATGTACTGGTATACTGGTACTGTATAGTGTTTTTGAATTATGCTCAAATGAGCTAAAATTTGTCACTACTGAAACATTTTGGTAGTGTTATGATTGTTTTGGTAGTGGCAAAATGGAATGTTCAATCATTATTTTAATAAAATAAACATAATTAAGGCATAGAGTCACTGAAAGCAAAAGGATTTTAATCTAAAGTACAAGTCAGATAAAAGTGAGCTCTGGCTTTAAACTAATTAGGTAGAAAGATTCAGATTAAGACCATTGGAAAGCCAATCAAAGACATCAGTACAGAAGCTTTGTAGCACTGGGCAAAATTTTAAAAAGCGTGGGACAAAGAGCCCTATGCTCTACTCAATCTAGTTTTCCAATAATGAAGCCAATGAAGCACCTTGAACAGAGTGAACCTATGTCGAGAATTTATGGAGCAATCTGGGATCCTGGACAGGCTTTCCTCTCCTATTTCCACTGTTAATGTGCAATTCATCTCTTTGGCCCAGGCCTTTGAGTAACAGTTAGTGTTTGGGAGTGAGGGAAGTGCTTAAACGAACCACAAAACCAGTTGTCTAGAAGATGAGTCCACACAAAACAGCTTGGTTAATGAGTGATCGATGGGTTTGGACTCAAAGTTAGGTATGCATTCTGATGTAAAGTCTAAGTTGCAAATAAAAAAGGAAATAGAATGTTGGTCATTTCAACAGAGAGATTCTTGGACTTTTGTGTTTCCTGTGATATGCTTGAAGTGGGGGGGACGATGCTGAAAGAAGTTGACATCAAATCTTCCTCATACCAATCAGAATAAGGGCAAATTATTCATTGTTCATGACCATAGCTAGTGTTGTATTACAAACACCTCTTAACACCCCTGTCAACATGGTTTCAAATCTTTATATTTCTGTTATATAGATATGCCAAGGAAAAAGTGTTTACCAATGTTATATTCAAGAAATATATTAATTGATACAATTTAATAATAAATGATTGACAGTGCCATCTCCTAGACAACGTACACAACCCGACTCCAGTGACAGTGGTGAGTGACACCGTCAATCAGTGTCCTACACGTTTGAGCCTCTCCCCCAGGAAAACAGACCACTTTGCTCTTCTCTGCCGATCTCTGAATGGTGAATACACTAACTGCTGGACCGTGCTTCCGAACCTGAGGTCACACTTACAGTCGGTCATATTTACAGGCACGTTGGAGAAATTCTCATATGCCTTATTGTATGCCACACCTGTAAAGTACAATTATGAGGATACACTGTAAGCCTTGACATTAAGAGGGGTAAGTAATGTAATACTATGCTTTCTATCCTACAGTTAAAGTGGACCGGTGGGTGTCGTGCACTTGTAAATAAGGTTAATCACTTATGGTAGGATTCTGCAACAAGTGGCTGATGCTAGTAGGAAGCAGCGTCTAGCCATGCTACAAACAGCGTTGTAATAAGTACTGTTAACAAATGTAGAAAAGCTACTTGCTGGGGGTTTTGACTGTGCCTCAGAGCAATGACTTTATGTGAGGAAGAGGAATGCAAGTAGCTGACGTATGCATATTGCTAAATCTGATTGGTGCTTTGGCAGATCTGATGTCGCCTGTGCCAAATTTAGTCCCAGCCAACTCAAATCAAACAGAAGAAAACCGCAGAAAAAGACAATTAAATAATCTCTCAAGAAAAGAACAATAGCGTTCTTGCTCTGCCAGTTCATTGTAAAAACACCACAAAAATGACAGATAATTGTATACAGAAAATCTTAAAATTAATAGACAGGAGCTTTAACTGTAGTAAAATTTTATGTAACACACAACTTTTTGTGACTTATTGCTTGAATAAGAAAAGCTGTATTTGCAGTGGCCACTTCACACAATTGACACTGATCTTAGATCAGGCCTTGTCAATCCATGTAATCCATGAATAGTTCTATTCAATGCTATGTAAAAGGTACATCACCATTATTAATCTGAGATGTTTGATAAGTATGTGCCAGTGTTTGCATGATAAGTCACTTATCATCACAGCTATCATAATCATGCCTGGTTGAACATAACTTCGCCTCCATAATCAGATATCACACACAAAGTCCAACTTCTGCCAGAAACAAAGGTTTAAAAAGCAAAAAAAGAAAAAAGGTCTGCTGTGTTGTTGTTTATGTTGCCATGGCTACACCGCTGTCAATCACCATGTTGTCTGAAACACCCACACAGTCCTGATCATGCAGAGACGTTGACCTTTTCTAGCTTTTAACTCCATTTGAAATACTGTTTAATACTGAGTTTAATACTGAGTTTTTTGGTCAGTGATCATCAAGTCACATACAGTGTGTAGCCAAAAGTATGTGGACACCCAAACATTACATCCTAAAGTCTGATTCCAGAACTATGGGCATTAATAAGGAGCTGTTCCCTTCTGTGCTGCTATAACAGCCTACGCTCTTCTGAGAAGGCTGTTTACAGGGATTCGCTTCCACTGAGCTTCAAGAACACAACTGCGGTCAGCCACTAATGTGGGGCAGTGACCCCAAAGGTGTTTAATGGGATTGAGGTCAAGATCTGTGTAGGCCCGTCGAGTTCTTCCACACCAAACTCCATCTTAATGAATCTTACTTTGTGGACAGGGACATTGTCCTGCTGAAACATGACAATGTCCCTGTGCACAAACAAAGGTCCTTTCCCAAACTGTTGCCACAAAGTTGAAAGCATACAATTCTCTAAAATGTCATTCTGTGCTGTAGCATTAAGATTTTTCTTCACTAGAACTAAGGGAGGCAGGCCAAACCATGAAAACCAGCCTCAGACCATTATTCCTCCTCCACAAACTTTATGGATTCAGGCAGGTATAGTTTTCCTGGCATTCATGCACCAGTCTGCCAGATTGTTAGGCATGAATCATCACTCCAGAGCACTGGTCAAGCGCCCTGCTCCTAAAGAGAGCTATCTTATTACAGGTTTCACCTCCAACACACCTGTAAAACATCTCATTCAGCTAAAGTAGGACTCTTGAAGGAAATGTTTAGATGAGTCAGTAGGGTTGACTAGGGTTGGAGCTAAAGTTTCCAAAGTAGAACCCCAGGAGCAGGGTTGGTGACCACTGCTTAAGAGATCGTGTTTTCACTGCTCCAAAGGCATTGTGCTTTACACCAAAATAGCCGACACAGCATTGCACACTGTGATTTTAGGTTTGTGTGTGGCTGCTCGGCTATGAAAACCCTTTCCAAGAAGCACACAGTTCTTTGCTTCCTGAGACAGTTTGGAACTTGGTAGTGAGTGTAGCAACTGAGGATGTAAAACACTCTGTGCTTCAGCAATTAGCGATTCCATTCTGTGAGTGTATGTGCCCTAATGCTTCACAACTGCCACTTCACAAAAACAGCACTTACAGTTGACTGGGGCAGATCTAGCAGGGCAGAAACTGGGCCGACTTGATGGAAATGCACCAAGCCTTCCTATAACAGTGATACGTTGAAAGTCACTCAGATCTTCAGTGCGACCCCTATAAAACAGCCAAACCCACCAAAAGGAAAGTCCACATACTTTTTGCCAAAGAGTGTAGTTTTATATCATTGCCCCTTAATTAATGTGTGTTTTACTGCTTATATATTATCAGAGAGGAACCAGTAGATCTTACTCATTAATATCTGATAGAACTGAAAATGTACTGAAGATGGTTTTAGTATCTGTTCCTTATGGTGTGACTGCTAGTGTGCATGTTTTTGTGTTTGTAGGTATGAGGTTATTCTGAAACAGAGCGTGGGTACTGAGGATCTGTTTCTGGGCATGAGCCGAAAGGATCCGTCCTCCATGTGCTGTGACAGCCTGCTGGTAAACTCTCCTCCTCCTGTTCAGACTTGCAAGAGCTTCCATTGAACCTGCTGACAACACTTGTTATGCAGTGAAATCTAGTATGGGGGGATATATAGTCTATACAGGATTTGGGGTCACACAGCAATATTGAATTTTAATGGTATTGAGACATTTAAAAAAACTGCACTGTACAATGTTATTTGGCAGGTTTTGCAAAAGGATTTGAAAGAAAAGTACATAAATACATAAAAAATAAATTAATAGTAACTCTTCTTACAATGTTCTTTCTGTCTGGTTAAATGACCGACATCCTACATTTTTCTTGTTTTTTTCCCCAAGAGGTCCTTTCATCACATTTTTTGTGGATTTAAATACCTAAATCAGTAAATTTTACATCACCATCCAATTTCCAGAATTAAACAGGATGTTTTTTGTTACTGTGCCTTTAAGACATATATATATATAAGTGAGCTCTGTTTTGATTCCTGTTTACTGTGCCAGCTTAGAAGGCCATCCAGGCTGAAACAGTCCTTACAGCTTCAGGTTGGGCAGAGTTAAACTGCTGAAGGCTGAGTAGGCAGATACATGTAAATGCACTGATTTTCATGACCTCACAAAAACAGCAAATTTAAAACAGGCTGGTTTTTATGCTTAGTTTCCATATGCAGACTGTATGACTGGGGAGTGAACAGTGTGTTTTGAAAGTTCAACAGTATTTACATACTACATCAAACTCTTTTATTGAAAAAGGTTAGGAATTTCCATGATATGAGCCCTTTGATGTTTACAATACTATGCAAACGTTCATTTGGTATCATTTTAAGCAAAGCAGAACAGACAAAACAGTCCAGTCATGTTAATCCAAATTATATCAGGCTTGTGAGGCATTATTTTAGTATAGAGTAGCAGAACTCGGGAAGCATTAATATTATTTGAACCCGTTCTATATTTGAAAAATATAGTGACATTAAATTTGATCAATAATGTATACATGTTGTGTAGTTATGGAACCTATTGGTACAATTGAAGTGACCTTCTCTCACTATCTCTCTTTCTCCTGCAGGTCAGAGTGAAGCTGCCAGACACTAAAGCCTCTGATCTAGCGCTGGACGTGAGGGAAACATTTCTTGATCTCAGAACTCCAAAGTAGTACGTTTCTGACCGTTCTTATAAGCTACACATAGAGAAGAAGACATTGAGAAAGAAAAAGACATACCCAAGTTCTATACATTTTAAATTATTTTATATTTAAATATCTCATTTTGGCTTTCCAGCTTTCCTTCTCTTCCATTCAGAGTCCCATTATTCGCATAACCCTGCACAGTTACAATATTATCCAAGCATTTAAAGTAATCAATGAAACAATTAATGAATTATATATTAACTGTAAACATGAGTCAAAATGGTTGTAGTGCAAACAATATCTCTTCGCGTTCTCTGCAGCAAGCTAGGCCTGCATCTACCCCATCCAGTGCACAGTGGGGAGGGGACAGCCCGGTTCATTACAGAGCGAGCTGAACTGGAAATCACACTGCCTATAAACAGACCCCTGGACTGCGTCAATCTGGCCTGAAGAGAGGGAAAACAGAACCCAGGAGCTGCATCAGTTTCTGAAGAAAAACTGTCTGGAAAGGAGGAAAGGAGAGTTAATTTGCTACCATAATGGAGAGTGAGAGTGAAAAAGAGAAGGATGCTAAGGAACAGAAACTTTTGCACAGTACATTCAGCTACCAATTGTTGACAATTATTTGGAACCACAGTTATTCTCTTTGGGCCTGTAGAGTCTCATATTTTTTAAAAATAATTTTTTTTTTTTTTTTAAATTACGTTTTTCTTTTGATGAGTTTTTTCTTTCAGGGCAGAGGTGAGTTCACGGTAAAGACAGATATGCGTCGCTTACGCACACAAATGTGAAGAATGTACAGCTGAATGATTCCATCGTAGAATTTCTCCAACAGTTAAATGTTTAAGATGTAAACAAAGTAATTCAGAGTGGTTTGATGTAAAATGATTTGTTCTACAGAAACATACAAAGTCTGAATTGTTCACAGCTGTGGTGATAGGAACTAGACGTCTGAAGAGTTTAATACATCCAAAAGCTCCCTCGCAGAAAGTGATTACATGAAATAGATATGAATCTGCTGCCTGATCTCTGGGAGGAGTGTTTCACGATAGTTTTGAGATGAGATTTTGGCTTAAATTTTATTTTTTTGTATTTATTTATAGCAGAGAGGTACATGCAGGGCATTGTCAAGCAAAACGGATTAATCAGTATTTTACCATTGTCAATGTTACATATAAAACCCAAGTTCACTGGACGTTTTGGATAATAGCTATATCTGCTTTGTAGACCTCACAACCTCCTATCACCACCACTGTAAAGAAATCTGAGTGGGTAAGTTTCTCTACAATGAACCATTTCACATCAAACCACTCTGAATGACTTTGTTTACCTCTCAACCATTTAACTGAAATCTTAGCTTAGTTTTGTTTTAGGATGCCAATTCAAGCTAAAGTCAAGCAATATCATACAATCACTAAATATACCAAAATTTCTGTCACCATGTTTACAATACAAATGTAGCCATTTTATTTACTATCCAAAACGAGCAGGGAACCTACATGTGTCTTCTCAGTTTTATATGTAATGTTGATAATAGTAAAATAGTGGCAAAACAGTTTTCTTTGGGGACTATTTTGCCTTACAATGCCCTGCATGCACCCCTCTTCCATGAATGGATTTAAAAAATAAATACATTTTAAGCCAAAATGTGTCAAAACAAAATGTCTCAGACAGCAGGCAAAATATTGGTAACCATTTTGTGTAACAGCTTTCTCTGAGGCAGCTTTTGAAGACATTAAATGCTTCGGACGTCTAGGCCTAGTTTCACGGAAGTGTCTTAAGAAACAAAATCTTCTCAAATGTGCATTTTTTTCTTAACTACATGCCTAAGAAAGTAGTTATTATTCCTCAAAAAATTATTAAGAATTTTCTTTATTTTTTTTCTTAACTGTTCTCTGAAGTAGTGTAAGATTATATTGTATTCTTGAAAAAAAGTATGTTCTTAAATATTTTCCTACCCTTATGACAGTCTCACACTTGTCTTAGGCAGTACAAACTGACAGGTGTCACAAAATATAATTGTTAAATCTGTAAAATGTAACATGATATTGATAATCTACATGACAACCTAACCTAGTTAGCTTAATGACAACAAAACATATAGCATTCATACGAAAACAATTACAATTTCCTCAAGAAATTAAGACTTTCTTAAGACAATATTTGAGAATTTACGAGAATTGCATTTCAGAACATTCTTACAAAGTTTTTAGTTTGTCTTAAGATCCTTCCTACGTTTTTTCTTAGGAAAGCTTTCGTGAATCCGGTCCCTGCTTCATATCGCCATTACTGTGAACAAAACTGACACAGGTTTATGGTTCATTTCACTTCAAACCACTCTGACTTTGTTTACATCGTAATCATTTAATTATGCATAAATTTTGAAAAATAGGCGGTATTTCCCTTACAGTACAGTGAACGTATCACATGCATATGCTGAAAAATCAATGGCAGTGGCATTATAAATTGTGTAAAACAGCTTTTTATTGCTATTTTTCTCTTGACGGCCCTGAATGTTAGCTGGATCATATAAAATCAGCCCTTGATGTAAAATAGTAAAAACAAAACGAAACCGCTCCTCTCAGCAGCGCACGCGCGTGCATACGTTGCCACAGCAGCCGGCGTGTAAGCATGTGACGCAGGCGCAGCTGGCTCGGCTCTTCGGCTGCGCCCGGACAATAACGCGGCGCTCCGTTTCTCCGCCTCGCTCTCGGCATGGCAGACGGCGAGCGGTCCCCGCTGCTCTCGGACCTCGGTGACGGAGCCGTCGGGAACAGTGGGAACGGTGGCGTGTCTCCTGGCCCGGCCCCGTACGGTCAACCCAACAAGCCGCAAAGTGAGTAACGCTGGTTAGCGAGCTAGCAAGCTCTGCAGCTCCCGGCTAAATCCTCTCTGTAGGGCTGCAGGGCCAGGCCAGGCACTCCAGCACGGAGATGCACATCGGCAGTCACGCTCTTTGTATTTTGTCGCTAATGTGCAGCGGTAGGGCGGTCATGCATGGCCTGGTTGGGTGAGTGAGCGGTGACTCGGACGTTTCTTGCCCAGCACGCCAGAAGGAAGAGTCCGGTTTTAATTTGTCAGCATGCCGGTCGCTGGGCTGATTTTAGCTGGCAGCCTCGCAGCGATTACCTGGCAGCCCGACCAGAGCCGCACGGATTAAACGATTTAGCAAAAATAAGAGGATAATTAATCGTATCCTGCTTGCAGAGTCAATCAACAGTCAGACGACACCTCTGACTAAATTCACCAGCAAGTGCACACTCATTGTTTTTCAGCTGCTAACGTTAACTGGCTCGCCTGTGAGAGACCGAGTACTCGCCTCTTTTAATTATTTAGCAGCTAACAGCTAATACGGGTTCCCTCTGGGCTGGACAAACAACTTTTCGTTTACATTTGTCAAAATGTCTCATCGGAGGTCGTAGTACACCTTACAGTTTCACGATTATAAGAGAACATTGTGTGTTTGAGTAGATGACGTTCACAAACATTGTATGTTAATTTGATCGACAGGCCGACGGGCCACTCCTGAAGCGTCAAATCACTGCCGGATGATTAAAATTGACCAATCACAGTCTTCGGTGGGAGGAGCTGTTTCAGATTGATGCTCCGCGGAACGTATTTATGGTGGGATTTTTCTTTGGGCGCGATAGCTAACGTTAATATACTTCTCGTGTGAGGGAGTTTTTTTTGGAGTGGCCGTATTTAACTGGAATGCTCGACCACAGATTATGCATTCTCAAGATGATTTAAGCCTTAAACACATACTTGAGTGAGAGACTGCATTCCAGTAGTCACATCATAAAGCGCCTTTCAGCGAGACCAAATCTCATTTTCTGATCCTAATTCGATAGTTTAGGAAAATGCCTTTGGGAACAAAGCCTTCTTTAGACTTCCCAAAGTACTGCCTATGCTGGTCACATCAACCTAGTAAAATGTGTTCTTTCATCGGACCAACACATTTTTATTGGCACTGCTATAAAAAAGTCCTTCAGATAAAGTTGAAATTAGTGTGAAATTAATGATTTATTGTTTGGCTTCTGTGAAAAGTATAAATAAAAATAAAGTGTGGGCCTGAGCTGGAGTTGTAAAGCCCACATGCTAATATGTCTGGCTAGGTTTACAGTATCGGTCTGTTTAATGTCTGTCATGTCAAAGATTGATGAGAAGCTTTGCAGAAGGACCTGGTTGCAGTATCATTATCTCAACTTATTCATTCTCTTCCCTTTATCTTAGATTTGCTGAAAATGACTTCATTAGCATGATAAAGCAATCAGCACATTTATTTTGTGACCTCTTTTCCTTATCATCCCACTATCAAGGATGATTTGACAAGCCTTGAAAGTAAATGTGTGGGAATATTGCTGTTTGTAGGTGACAGAATTCAAACTTCTAAATGGTGTTGTGGTAAGATTGATTTTCTGCTGTGATTGGGCTTTTATGTAATGATTGATTTGTCTACATCATGCTAGTGGTCTCCTTTCAGCCAAATGAGATTGAATAAAAAGCATTTAAAAGTGACTCACTCTTTCTCTTTTGCCCTTTCTGTTTCTCTCGCTCTCTTTCACTTTCTCTTTTAGGTTTCCCCCCATTTCCAAGTCCCTCTCAGCCCTCTGTGCTGTTGGGTGAGGATCCTCCACCCTATTCGCCCCTGACGTCCCCCGAGAGTGGCAGTGCCCCTGTGATAAGCTGCCGGGTTTGCCAGTCCCTCATCAGCGTCGAGGGCAAGATCCACCAGCATGTGGTGAAGTGCGGGGTCTGCAATGAAGCTACAGTGAGTTTCCATATCACTACACTTCTGTGGACCAGATATTGTGTCAATAAACCTCTGTGACCCTAAATCTAACCTGCAGCAGAGAATATATTTCAGTATATGAGTGTAAACATGAAAGCCAGGATTAGGTGCAAGCTACGGAAATTCGATACAGCTTACAGTGACCAGATAAGTTAAAAAGGTAGTTGACATTGGCAGTAAGCTGTCATGCAGTAAAAATTCTTGTTGCCTATGCAACATATTTTTAAACAGTGGAATACTTCGATAGATGTGTAAGCAACTTTTTTCCAGACTGCATCCACCCAGTCATTCCCTAGCCCATCTGAAAATTTAGCAAGATAACTTAGTATTCTGCTAGGCTCTGAGCTAAGCTGGAGTGTTAATCTAACCCTGTTACACAGCTGCTTTCTTTCTCTTGCCAGCTGGAAGGCTATTTGTCAGTGCTGTTGTAATGTGTAAGTAATTTCAGTTTTGATTGCTATTTGGTCAATCTTACATCTGTTGCACTCCTTTCTGTTTACAGTTAACTGCTAGTTAGTCTTGCAAGTCAGACATCTGCCTGTCTTCAGGGAGTGTGGTGTGTTTTGTCACTCAACATGGTCAAGAACTGCCTAATTTGTTAGGAAAGGACCATTCGACTGACATGCACTATGACTAACCACAAACTGTTGTTTTAACACGGTGTCAAGTCACATGAAGTGATCTTTATTGTCATTCCTCAGTATAACTTGTATTTGAATAAAATGTTGTTTCTCAGGCCTGAGTGTGTATGGGGCAATTCGCAAAGCAGGGCTGCAAGAAAAACGCCCCGGCAGGAAGCAAACAAGTATGCATCAGCAAACACGTGAGGATATGTTGCTTAGAAGCCAAGAAATGCTTCAAAGAAACTTCTTAAATAACTTCTAAAGATGTGATACCATGAACTTCACAAACTGCTTTTTCCCATCCAATGACAATATAGCTTCATTGCTGTTATGGTGAACACAAAAAGTATAAAGTTGTGCCCAGCTTATGTGATTGTAGACAACAAATGGTCCATGTATGTGTGTGGAGGGCATCTGAGGCTAAGACTAAACGCTAGCTAGTTGTAGACTGATTCTTTTACCAGTGGTCCTTGAAAATCTGTTTCCGTTGAGCCTACAGAGAACAGTAGAATGAGTGGCAGCCTTGTTAGCTGATTTTTTTTTTACATAGCGAGTTGATAGAAATGGATAGATATTCATAAGATATTCAACATTTGTTCAACATAAAATTATATTTTACAAATAATATTGCTCACTCACAGCACCCATCGATACTCTGGTATGGATTTAAAAGGCTCATGTCCTACTTTTTTCTTTTCTTTCCCTGAGGTCCACTTCAATCATTTACAAAATGTACAAAAGCTGGGTGAGACCAGTGCATAATGCTAAGCAGTTTTTGGATGAAGCATTAGTTTAAGTTTTGGTTCACTTCCTCAAGGCACTTCAGGTTGGATCAACTATGTAAAAGAAGAACCTATAAAATAAAAGTTTTCTCATTTGGTGATGGGATTTCTTTTATCTTTTATTTAAAAAAAAAAAGTAGGAAAATATGTTTCTCCATGAAATAGGCCCCATTAACCATTCCCCCAGTAACTGCAGTATAGTTAAATAATTTTAAACTATAATCTTGTCCTTACGCCTACAACTAACCGCACCTGTAACCATATGGCTAGTCATAATGGGTGAGCTTAACAGAACGTAAGACCGTAAAAATAAAACACTTGGATTAGGTGCATGTACAAAGGGCAGCACTTGGTTGATGCTAATGTGAGGTAGCAGAAGTGAAAGAAGTGAAAGCACAGCTTTTCATGCCTTTGCTTCTCCTTTCAGTGCCAGGTCTGCCATAACAGTGTCTCATCTTTAGTAATGAATCATTTGCGTTCAGTCATGTGACTTTCTGTTGCACTGAAACAGAATAGGGGTGACGCAGGTAGCGATCGAACTACATCTTCACTGTAAGGTAGCTAAAATTGCATCCAAATTTCTCTCTCTCTCCAACCATGCAACAGCCTGCCTCTTTCCGAATCTATGTCCTTTTCACTTTTTCTTTCCACCCTACCGACATTGCCTTTCTTGCCCTCACTCTTAGTCTTTCTATCTCCTTGCAGCCCATAAAGAATGCCCCAGCAGGGAAGAAGTATGTTCGCTGTCCCTGTAACTGTCTGCTCATCTGCAAGGTCACGTCTCAGCGGATTGCCTGCCCGCGGCCGTACTGGTGAGAGAGGGGCGAAAACATATGTCCAGTTTGCATAACATCAAAGGAATATTTCAGCAAAAATAGACAGAATTACAGACAATATGCAGACTTTCACATAGCTGCTATTACTGTTTTTTTGCTATGCAACTTTTGTTAGGCTTTTTTCGAGAACAGTATGTAACACAACATCAGAAGCCACATATACAGTCTATTTGAGATTACTTAAAAAATCAGTACAGTTGAATGCAAGTGTGAGCTGATTTAGGCATGTTGTTTGCCTCATGTTAATTGGTGAGGTGTACACTTCCTTTACTAGTCAGCTGCATTCGCTGTGTAGCTCCAGGGCAAAACTAAAAAACAGCTGTTCCTTTAAAGGAGTGCTTCACCTGAAAATGCTAATGTACGAAAGCTGGGTGAGACCAGTGCATAATGCTAACCAGTTTTTGAATGAAGCATTAGTTTAAGTCTTGGTTCACTTCCTCAAGGCACTTCAGATTGGATCAACTGTATGTAAAAAAAAAAAAATGGAAGAACCTATAAAATAAGTCTTCTCATTTGGTGATTGGATTTTTGTCCATGACATCTCAGAGGTTATTTGCAAGGCAAATAAAATATAACTTTTCTTTCCCCAGCAGCAAAGATATTTTCCAAAAGATTGGAACAGGGCCCTGTCTCATGAAGCAAAGTCAACTTAGACAAGTTCAAAGATGTCACAAAAAGTCAAAGAGGAAAAAAGATCATACTTTCTAAATATGCAGAAAGTAAAACATTTTTAAAGATAAACGCAACGATGTTGCCACTGCCACTGTGTTGGTGCTTATTCAAGTGATAATTGCTTTATATTCTTGTTGTTTTAGCATGACGTGTATGTGGTGATTGGTCAGAAGCTCGGCCCTCGTTGGTCCAAGAGCTGTTGGTAATTCCGAAATCACAAACATAGCATGTAGCATAAGTTGTGACGGTGATGTAGTCCAGCAAAAAGTGATCCACCATCATGAGGAGAAAAAACAGGGTTAGATCAAACTAAGCTTGCTTTGTTAGAAAGGCCCCTGGGGATATGATGGAGACCTTGTTTGGTTTTAATTTTGGGGTCTAAGAAATGGGAGGAAAGTGAAGAAGTGAAGGAATAGTATTGAGAGTTTGTTTGACAAACAAATATTTGTGTGAGAATTCTGACAAATGCAAAATCATTTGAAGCAATAAAATATCACTTTGCAGCACCTGACACACATTTATTTCTTTGTTCTTGTGTTGCAGTAAGAGGATTATAAACTTGGGGCCAGTACACCCTGGTCCTGCTAGTCCAGACCCACAACCTACTGGAGCACGAGTGTCATGTGGCCACTGCAGCAACACTTTCTTGGTACTTTCCTCGTCATTATCATCATCATATGCACAAATACTGATAACATTGAGGCAGTGCCTACTTGTAATAGTGCAAGCACATGTTTACGCTCAAATAACAGTGTAACAACACTGCCCTGGTGCTGTTCATCATCATCATCATCAACAACAGCAGCAGTATTTACACATCAATGGAACTGTTAATCATCATCATAATTGTTAGCAGTAACTGTTAACTATAATCATTATCACCTGTATTGTCAGATTGATCTCTAACACTGTTATTGTTTTCTTAACATTGCAGTGGACAGAGTTTACTGACAGGACACTGGCCAGATGTCCCCATTGCAGAAAAGTGTGAGTGTCGATCAGTCAGTCAGTTAACTGATCTCTCTCTTTGTTTCTCTCCTTCTGTTCCTCATATCTATTTACAAGAGGGTTCTGATTTGTTGAAAGATGTTTTTAGTTTTATAAGCCTTTATTTAGCTTTTATCAGATCTCCCCATTGCATATCTATGTGCAACATCTCCGATAATCATTCTAAGAACACCTCCTTCCTCCCACTGCAGCTCTTCTATTGGCCAGAGGTACCCAAGGAGGCGTAGTCTCTGGTGTTTCCTGCTCTGCTTGCTCTTCAGCATCTCTGCAGCTGGACTGATTGTGAGTGTAAACAAACAGAAATTTAGACAATGCGGTTAATGCAGTACAAATATTATACACAGATTTTTTTTATAATGTTTACACTGTTGAGATATTACACAATACACTATTGAGATATTATACAAATAATATAGAATGTAGGTAAGATGTAAATAGAGATATTACATAAAATAGAAAATACAAAGCAGGAATTCTCAGTTTTGCCAGATGTCAGCCAACTTAAGCCCAAAGTCAAGTCTAACCATTAGGACAAGGACTGAAAGGCATTCCTTTTGGAAAGTCCTGAACTTTGAGCTTAAGTTATTTGGCTAACTGTGAAGTCAATGAAGATGCTTTTGTGCTGAATTTGATTGCAGTCTTACAAATATGTCACTTGGCTCTTACAGAACTAGAAAAAGGTGCTGCCAGTGTAGAGTATCAAATGGGAATTCCACAAATTTTTCAAAATCTTTGAAGAATTCAATTGTTAAGATATGAACAGGTGGTGAAAACCAGGGGTCAGGATGTTAAGGTTCCATTTTATTTACTTTCCAAAATGAACAGTGAACATACATGTGTCTTACAAGTTTATATGTACAATGTTGATAATGATAAATAGTTGTAAAAGAAAATTCTTTGCGGCTGATTTGAGTTACACCATGCTGTGACATTCATAAATGTTTCGTGTGTGTGTGTGTGTGTGTGTGTGTGTGTGTATATGGTTTGCCTTTTTTTCATGGTTCTGTATAGCAGAAGTAACTGCTGTGAAATGATTTAAGTTATGTGGTTATGTGTGTGAGTAATTTAAGTGTGATCCTACATATGTGGCCCTGTATGTGAGTTTAAGGGGTTAATAACTATTTTTTAGAATATTATTTATATCATTCTCTGTATTATTTTTTTTCCCTCTCTCCCCTTCCCTCTCCAGGCGGGGACATGGTCTCAGGCGCGGGTGTATGGGGGGATCTATGCTGCATGGGCGGCTGTACTGCTGCTGGTTGTGGTGACGCTGGCCAGAGCACTCTACTGGAGCTGCCTACGGGTCAGCCAACCCCTTCAGAACTTCACATAGAGACAGACAGACAGGGAGGGAGGGAGAAGGGACAGGGGGTGAGAGAAAGAGAGAGAGAGGAGGGGTACTGGAGAGAGTCAGAGTGATGGCTGGAGTGAGTGAGTGAGTGAGTGAGGGAGAAAGAGAGAGACAGTGAGTGAATGAGAGAGCGAGAGAGAAAGGCAGAGCGAGTAACGGTTTAAGTGAGAGAGATCAAGCGACAGAGATTAGAGTGTGCAGGGGGCAGATGAGTGGATGGAGGGATGGGGTCAGACTGTTTTAAAGAAATATTTATTTAGCTGAAGTGTTGTCGAGCGTTGGATGGTGTTACCCATGACTGTGCCGCAGACTTACTGACACGTTACGCAACTAATCTCCAGTCGCCCCGAGCATTTTAATCCCGTGCATTCAAAAATGCGCCCACCTCACTCTTACTTTCATGCACCCAAATATAGTAGCTTAGTAGCCCATTTGGCACAATTAAATGAACCATGTGACAGGCTCTCACTCTCACACATGCATGTATACATACAGTGGCCCCCAAAAGTATTTGGATACTTTAAACATTGGAACACTTCAATGAAGTTAGGTTACTTCATAAAATGTTTAACAAAATGATACCTGTTTCGGAGAGAACAACCTCTAGCACATCATCAAAATGATGGTAGACTCTTTGTGTGGAGAAACTGTGGAGAGGAATTCCAACCAGGCTGCATTAAGGCTAGTGTGAAACACAGAGGTGGAAACGTCGAAGTCTGGGGCTGTTTTTCTTACAGTGCTGTTGATGAGCTTGTGTTTATTAAAGGCATGGATGTAAGCCTGCAGATGTCTGCATAGAAACTGCTCAAACAATAACAATCTGAAACACAACAGCCACTTTTTGCAACAATACAAAAGAAAATGACAGTTTTGGAATATTCTGTTTAAAATAAATGCCACTTGCTTTGACATTTTGGTACCTGACACAATAAACTTAATACATTTACCTTTAGGGGCCACTGTATATTTACTCTGCCTGCCAAAAGCATGGGGGCACCTAGGTTTGTCTTCTTTGTAAATTTACAATAACGTATTAAATAGACAACTGTTTATATCTTGCCATTTTTCTTTGCAATAATTGCAAAACTATAAACAAACAACTGATAAAACTGCTGTCTTTTAAATAATGATAAACCCCACAAATTTTTACTCCCTTGTTGTGATGTCAGCATTCATAAGCACTCAGATCCTTCAGTCGTTTAGGGCTGAAGCAGTTTCAATACATGCTTTTTAACAGTAGTTCGGCAAAGAAAACCTGCTATACATATCAAGGAAGACAACATAAATCTAAGAGAGTTAAGATATACTTAATGTACTTCAGTACCTTTGCAAATATTTGTTCTTACGTAATTGAAAAATAGCAGTAAAAATCAACTACTACTCTGAGCATTTCAATCATAGGTAAGGTGACCCCAAACTTTTGAATGTCAGTGTACTCACATGCCCTTAATCCACTGACCCCATTAGCCTACATAACTGGAAGTTTGGATGAACAGGAGCAGACTGGAGGTGTTGAGTAGCGTTTAGTCTTGATCAGTTAGATGTGTTTTGATTGTTAATGTAAAGTAATGTACAGTCAACAATGTCAGTAGAAGCGTTGTTGTGAATGCTGCCGTTAATCCGTGCATCTGCAGTCCAAAGTGTAAAGAGGCCTTACAAAGGGACAATTCAGTCTCTCCACCACAAGGGGGCTCTGCTTCAACACACAAGTGCATACACATACATACTCTTCACCTTCCATATGACCACATGTACATACAGTACCATGCAAAAGTCAGAGACCACCCTTCATTTATTTCATTTCCTTTCAAAACAGACAGTATGTACAAGTTATTTTTTTCTCAGCATCAGGAAAAAGCAGAAAACTTCTACATAAGCATTGGCAACTAAATATATAATTTTATATATATTTTAATTATATATATAATTTAAAATATATAATTTTTTTCAGTGTTTAGTGTGTCCAACTTTGTCCTTTATAACAGCTTCCATTCTTTTCAGTTTTCCAAATAAATCTGCAGTTGTATTTTTCCACACCTCCAAAGTTCAGTCTTAGAAGTTGGTTGTTTTTTTTTCTCCTCATCACCCACTCATGAATCAATGATTCTGAGGTCTGGCAAAAACAGATGACAGTTTTAGTGGTCTAGCAGGTCTTTCATGATTGTTAGGAGTCTCATTTTCTCTATATTTTTTCAAAATCTCCAGTTTTGAAAAGTCCTGCTTTTCCTTTTACTTACCCATTTTCCTGTGCAAGTGGATTGTCTTATATCTAATCTCCTCTTAAGTATCTCCTGAAAAATCATCAGCTTGTACTAAATGGCCATTTTGATTGGACATTAAATAAATGAAGGTGGTCTTACTTTTGCACAATACTGTACACACACATAATCTAGGGCTGTGACTATATATTGGTGTAACTATATATTGTGATATTAAATTATGACGTAGTTAGCATTAATCCAAATATGTATATATTGTCGTACATTATGACATTTTGGGCCCTTGATCAGTAATCAAGATTTCAAATCGAACGTACGTCCTTGTTTTTATTTGTTTTCAGATGCTTATTTTTTTGGAACAACAATTGTCACAAATTTTGGATGCTTATTACCTTCATGTATCAGTTAAAATTGTGATATAGTCTGTAAGCATGATCATCATACTCTGAGCAGATGTTCATATCCCAGCCCTAAGGGTCAACACATACATGCAGGCATAATGAACTCCGCTAGTGGGTGCTGTTGTAACAGTTTTTTTTTTATCTTATATTTATATGTTGCAATCACAGTACACCACAACAAGGTCACATTAGCAGCAGGTCATGCTCTGCTTTAATGCTTTCATCTGCAGAACGTCCAGTCGCTATAATAGCCTGTCACTCAAACATACACAGACATAAACACACACAGGCATAAACAATCTTGCATTCATCCCGTTTTGGCTTTTTGTTCAGCAGAAGGCAGTGTTTTTATTGTTATTAATTTTTCTTCTGTATGTAAATATTCTTTGTTATTTTAAAGAATACTGACTGATCTGTTGCACTATTGAGGATCTAACCCTTTGATTCCTGAAGGACTTTCTTTATTTTTCTCTCTAATTTTAAATGTGAAATCACTACAACATTATAGGTTTTGATTTATTTTTATGTACTAACAATGTGAAGCATCAAGGTGATACACAGACACACGCTCTCCCTCACCATGACTGATTACTCGAAAGACCTGCGTTAGAGTGACTGTCTTACTTATTTATGACCAGAAGGATGATGTTGATGTTTTGTTCATGATTATATGGAATTTGTCATGTTATTAACTCCAACATGTTAAGAGTTGCGATCAATGATATGCGCTAATCACAGGGGTATGGGGTTTCTGTGTTTAACTGCTCTGTGTTTAAAGCTTAGTTCATGACTTTAGGCACCCCTGCGCTCTTATCTGATATGGAGAAACCGCAGTTTATTTCGTGCACTATGTTTTTCACTGTGTACCACCAGCACTGCACGGTTTAAAGGAATGCTTCAGCCTAATCTCTATCTGCTGCATCTCTGTCATACCATTGATTACCACTAACAGTAATTTTGATGTGTTTACCTGTACTTGGAAAGAGAACAGATACTGACTCGATACATACTTGGGCAGCCATTGGGCAGTTGTTGAATTCCGTGAATAGTATAAAATACACGACTGTACAACTCTTAAGGGTAACCAATTTGAAAAATCTAATTTGAAACAATATGTTTCAAATATGATATTTAAATGATATTTAAAGGTATCACCAGTGTGCCCCTCACTTTCATCTGAGGGTCTGTCATTTATTGTCTTCAGTGGAAACCACTGTCAGCAATCTAAACTAGGCATCTGCGTGCATTCTGTCAGAGTAAAGAGGGTTGGGAGGGGGTGGGGCTTATGTTATGCACACACCCAAATAACTGGGCTTTTTATTAATTAATTATAAGTTCTTGGGGTTCTAGGTGTGTTGAATCTGAGGTCTGTAGAATCATTGTAAACATTTTTAAGATACAAAATATTAAAAATCTAATTGAATCTTCACCTCGGAATTAAAATTGTATTGAATATAAAAATGTGCATGCATGTAAGCACTGAGCATGGTACAAATATTGAGATATTAGCATTATCATAAGAACACAAGGCACTCCTAGTTTTTTGCCTTATAGAAAAGTCGTTCTGAGGCAACACCGTATTGTATCGAATTAAATCGAATTTTAAATTTGTATTGTTACACTCCTGTACAGTGCAAATTCAGAGCACAGCCCTTGCATTCGAATAATCCTAGTATGAGACAGAAATGAGAAAATATTTCACCAAAGCAAAAAGCTATTTGACTTAATTTCGCTTCCCTGAGGTTTTCTGGTATCCATCTGCAATCAGGAGACCTGAACTCGGCCCACACCAATACACTGGTAACATGTTACCACGAATTCTGTCTGGAAAAGTAGTCTCATCTCAGAAAGTACATAATATACTGTTGAAGAATTTATTAATGTGAATATAAAACTTTACAAAATAATTTGCATAAATGACAGAATTTAGCAGCTGCACAGTGGCTTTGTTTGTGAGTTGTAGAGACCATGCTGTAGAGATGTGGTGGATAGATATTAAGCTGAAAAGTTCTGGAGTATTCCTTTAACGCTTTCCAAGCTCCAGCACTCCTCATTCAACTCGAGAAGGCCATGAAAAATGAAAAAGCCTGATTTGTTGCTCTTTTTCCTCATATCTTCCAGTTAAAACCATAATATGGTTAATAAGCATGATTACTGTACTGTATTTAGTATTCCATGTTCTCTCACATCCGATTCAATGCATTATCAAGAGCTTAATATTGCCTGATGCATTGTACCAGGTGTGTTGGAGTGGAGGCGATGAAAACGTCCAGTGCTGGGGGTCTCCATGACTGGGATTGAGACCCACTGTTCCAAAAACTTGAAAGCCTGTCTTACTTGCTCTGTTTTGGCACTCACTTCGGTAGCAATGCCTACATACAAGATTAAAGGGTTCTCTTTTTTTCCAATAAATCAGTCAAATGTTTATTCAGGGCAAAGGGCTAAAGGTTTTGCAGTTTGACCATAAAATAAAATACCACATGGCAACAAAATAACAATCTTCTCTTACTCTGTCAGTAAGTAGATATAGAGGCATCAAACTCACTCGCTAAAGTGAATTAACTTATGAATCAGTGAATTGGATGTTCAATTGAAACGAACTGGCTGGTTTGGTGAATTGAATTTTCTTATGAATACACTTTGGTGTAGTAGAGGAAACATGCTAGAAACAAGTTAAATAGATAGAAACATTGTTTTACTGTTTGCTGAAAGAGTCAAGTGGATTCTGTATGGTCGTCCTAAATGTGTAATGAAACCGGAAAGGAATGAAGACAGGAGTTTTTCAGACCCTGAATCAATGGGAAGAGAAAGGAAAATTTGAGGTCACATAGATAAATATGTACTGCTTTTGAAGTGCTGATCTAGGATCAGTTTTTTGTTTCATGCCACAGTTTACACTTCGTTGTTTCATTATATCTGAGCAAGGATCAGCCATAAAAATGCAGGCATAAATGCACCCAAGAAGCGTTTGAATCCAAATTCTCAAACCATTTTTTAATCAGATGTTTTATAAGTGTACGTTTTATGTCCAAAGGTTTGTAGACACCTGCTTCTTCTGAATACGAGGTATTATAAGGAGTCTTCTTGGAAGGCCTTACACTAGATGTTGAAACATTGCTGTGAGCATTTGATTGCATTCAGCCACAAGAGCATTACTGAGGTCAGGCTCTGATGTTGGATGATTAGATCTCAAAGATGCTGGATGAAGCTTCATCACTCCAGATGGACGCTTGGCATTGGGTGTAGTGGCCTTAGGTTCATATGCAGCTGCTCCAGAGTGTTCCATTCTATTGGTCAGTGCTTTTCCACATAGATTGTAATGCTGTGTATAAGCAATTTAGCGTCTGTATCAGCAATGGGTGCATTTTAAAGTAGCTGCAATCACTAATTAGAAGGGGTGTCTGGATAATTTTGGACATATAGTGTACATCTGTCCCTTCAAACCAAACCTATAACCAAAACTTCTCCTAGTACATTGACTAAAACAGCCAACTTCTTGTGAACAACTGTCGGCACCGTCTCTAAAGTTGGAAATTACGCCAGCATGCAGAATCGTGATGTGTTTTGCGAAGAAGGGAAGACACCATAAATAAGGAGCAACAGGCAGTTAGTTGGCTGTCATGTTATCTGGAGATGCATTTGACTACAGTGCATAATTGTACATGTTTAAAATTTTGCCAGGATCCAATCTGGATATACAGTGGTATGGAAAATGTGGGCACCCCTGGTCAAACTCCATGTTCTTGTTGATTTTTGTTGATTTTTTTAGATGAAAATGTTAACACATCCTCTACAGAGAACTGCACATTTTAATACATAATTGCAGTTTATTTGCTGAATTTAATATTTTGGGGTACAAATAAAACATAAAATGTGGCCTATACAAAAGTTATGGCACATTTTACATTTTATGCCCCCCCCCCGATATTATAAACCACATGTCAGTCTCCAGTCCCTGCAGGCCAAAGCACTGCAGACTCAAGCACACTGCCTCATTAAACACACCTGATTCAGCATATTAGCTGATTAGCAAAGCCTTCTTGAGCTGAATTTAGAGTGTTAGATGAGGGTAAAGGCTAATATCTGTCGCACTTTGGTCCGGAAGGTCCCTAGTTTGACATACCTGCAGATAAATAGAAATTGTGCACTAAAATTTGCAGAAAAATTTCGTATTTACATTCCCTATTCCCTGATTTGTTAACTTTTACATAGAAAATCAACAAAATATGTAATTTGACCTGGGGGGGGGTAAATTTTTGTGTACAACTGTAAGTCACTTGACATGACCAAGTGTAAACAGGGTGTTGAAAAGTGCAAGGAATTTATAATAATTTAAAATAATTTGCAGTAAATGGTCCATGTAAATGCAGGCCAAGGGGCGCCTACTGTCTTAAACTACGCTGCTTTGAGGTCACAAGAACCTGATACTGATACTATTTATGCCAAGAACAAAAAGGCCAGGATGAAGCTTTTTCTCTGAGTTTGTTTACAAATGATGAAGGCATGATGATGACGATGGCGATGATGAAGATGACATAAAAATGTGAAAACAAAACTGCAGATGACTGTGTTTTCTTTATATGCACACATACACACAGTCAGTCGTCCTCTTTGGCACCTATTTGGGGACAAATTCGTCACCCGCTCCTCTCTCTCTCTCTTTCTTACCTGCACACACACACTCCTGCTGAGTCTCTCTCCATCTGTCTCTTGTTTCATGCGGATGTATTTTTTCCTGGACAAAGAGAGTAAGAGGGATGGGAAACATACAAAAAGCTTTCAGAAACCACAACCCCCTTGAGAAAGAGAGAACGGGGGACGAAGGAGGAGGGGTGGAAAAATAGAGGGAAAAAAGTGGAGATGACGAAAAGTCAGCATTAATGGAAGAAAAGGAACAGAGATGGAAAGAGTGAAAGGACAGTAAGGACAAAATGAGAAAATGCAGTGAGTGGAAACAATTTACAATTTAACATACTTCCAGTCTGACTGTCCACTTCAGATTTATGCACATAGTCTCTTCTGAATTTTGGAATTGGAAAAGTATGTACTTCTAATCATAAACAAAGATATGATTTGAAAATTAAATTGGGAAAAAAGTATTCAGACACCACAAACTAATAACATTGGAACTTGCAAAGCCATCCTCCTTGAATACTAAACAACACTACACCAGTAACAACAGCAACAAACAACTACAACAGCCACAGCAAAAAGTTCGTTTTTAACCGGGAACATGCAGAGCCTGTGATGAACACCGCAATATTTATGTACAAAGTCAAAAGATATTGTTTGAGTAAATGTTAAGTGGATATACACTCTGGAAGTATCTTAAATAACAAAAAGGTGCCTAAATATTTTCCTCTCACTCTGTATGTTTATTATATCACATTCTTCAGTATTTACTCTGTCCACTCTTTGTCTGTATTACAGCTTCCATTCTTTTCAGGAGCTTGCTTTCAGTTTTTTTTCAGATATTTTTCCACGCCTCCAGTTCAGTCTCAGAAGTTGGTTGCATTTTCTGCTTATGATACAAGTAATCCCAAGCACAGTCAATGATGTGACAGTTTTGATGTCTACCAGGTGTTGTGCAGTTTTAAGGAGTCCCATTTTCCCTATATCTTTTACTTGATATTTCCTGCCTTCTGCCCAGTGACCGCTGGGATAGCCTCCAGCACCCCCATGACCCAGAAGGATAAGCGACTATGATAATGTGTATGTGATTATTTTATTTAAAATCTCCTCAGAAATATCTCCTGAAAAAATTAGAACAGCCAACAGTAGAGCATAACATCTATTGTGAGTGTGTGTGTGTGTTTCGTGGCTCTAAGTGGCTTTGGCTCAGCCGGTACTTAGTATTACTGCACTAAACACACACAGAGAGTCTTAGTGATTAGTATCACATCTATATATCCTACTTCAACTCACAAACACACACATAAACCTTTTCAAATCCTTGTGCCCCCTACACACATACACACGCCCATTCATCAGGGAAGGAGTTTGTTCCCACTGCAGTCACAGTGAAGGATTACTGACTGTGCACAAACACACTGACCACTTTATCCTCTTCATCACTAACCGGATTGAGTACTTAAGACCAGCAGTGTGACCTTACACACACACTTTTGCATCACCCCCATTCTCTCTTTCACTCTCACACATGCACACATTGTGCAAAAGTCAGAGACCACGCTTAGTTTATTACATTTCCAGTTAAAACTGCCTTTAACTTACTTTATGCAAACAGACATAACAGAAAATTACACAGAGGCCACAACAACCAAATATAGTATTACATTTTTCAATATTTAGTGTGTCCACTCTTTGCCTTTATTACAACCTTCATTCTTTTCAAGAGACTTGCTTTCAGTTTTGCAAAGAAATCTGCAGGGATTTTTTTCCACACCTCCAAAGTTCAGTCTTAGAAGTTGATTTCATTTTCTGCTTCTCAGAATTCAAAGAATCCCAAAGACATTTAATGATGTTGAGGTCTGGTGACAGTTTTGGTGTCTTTCAGGTCTTGCAGAGTTGTTGGGAGACCAGTTGTTATGTATCTTTTAATGTATTTTTTAACTCTACTATTAAAGCTCTATTTTTCTATTTTCCTGATTTTACATTTTATTATTCCTCTGGATTATTTTAAATGTAATCTTCTCAGAAATATCTCCAGAATAATTTAGAACTTTTACATAACCATTGTGAGTTGAAATTAAATAAATTAAGTGTGATGTCTGACTTACTCAGTACTCTGCCCAACTACCCTTATTATATATGGGCTGTTCTACTGAATTAGTTTAAATTGCGGTCCCACAGTAAAAAAAAGCACACTGTTTAAAAAATAGGTATTCAGACCCTAGATATTTACAAGGATTATGTTATGATCTATTTAAACCCAAGACATTGAGGTAAGTTATAAGGTAAGAAGTTTTTCAGTTTTGGACAGAATTTGAGAGTACCTGTTGCCCTTACACTGTGTGTAAATTTAATGATGAATGGACCAAAAGAAATGGTCCAAAATTACTTCGACAAAAAGTCTGGTTACATTGACTTACATTAGAAGTATTTTTTTCTTTTCCTATAAAGTTATCATTTTGGAGATACAAGGTTTTGTTCCGACAGCAGCGATATTCAAAATCATCCTTTATAGGGTACTTTCTACTGGGAGGTGTCTGTTTCAAACCTTAAACCCTAATTTTCAGCTTGTGAAAGTAATACATACTTTTCAATATTTTTAAAAATCTTTTTGATTTGATATAAAGTGAATTTGAAAGATTTAGATTTATCATGAGTGTAATTTTGAACTAAGAAATGCCGTCCTATGTTTTCATGTCACTACTGAAACACAAAGAGTTTTAGTCCATAGGCGGAGCCTTATTTTAGCCACACCCCTGTGAGACTGCATCTCTGTCCCTCATGGCCACATGGTGAGCAGTCAGATCACATTGTTTTGTAGAAATTTGTCCCAAAATCCTGAAAATCAGTGTGGAACATTAGGAATAGTCACTACCATAACACACATTTTCTGCAGTTAAGTAAACTGTTTAGTGCTTTAATAAAAAATATTATGAGTTTATTTGTTTGCAACTGTTCAAAGCCATGCTTGCTAGTCATGTACTGATATACTGGTTCTGTATAGTGTTTCTGAATTATGCTCAAAAAGCTGAAATTGTCACTACTGAAAGCAGTTAGATCCCTTTGTTTTAAAGTGTTGTGTTTTAGTAATAGTATTGTGCTTTTATTGTATGTAGCTGTTCAAAATGAGCTAAAATTGTCACTACTGGAACATTTGGTAACATTCCGGTAATGTTATGATTGTTTTGGTAGTAACAAAATGGAATTATTTTTTAGTATTTCAGTTACATATAAAGAGCACTTTGTAAATCAGAGCCACTTTGTTGGTAAGTTACTCTGATTTTTCTCTGGCTATTATATAAAATCAGAACATTTCCAACATGAATGAAAACATGCACAAACACACACACACACACACACACACACACAGACATGCTCATTCTCCAATCTTTAAATCTGGTCTGTGTTCTCAGCATGAAGAGGAATTAGCAGATGTAGGATGGAGGATAGAGACAGGATGAGGGCAGAGGAGAGAGAGGGATTGACAGACTTGCTGAAGGATGAGATGGAGGGTTAAGTAGCTTTTCAACTTTGTGTCAAAACAAACAGAGCCTTTTAGAGCCTTTAGTCTTTTGTTCAATCTTTAATGCAGGTTTGATAGAGTAAAAATATTTTTTTACGTTTAAATGGACTTTAAAGGAACATTCCAGCATTATTCAGCCAGTCATTTGTAGCATTCATTCACAGACAACCTATTTACTTGATATGCACTTGTAAAAGGTACCTCATGAGAGTTATTGTCTGTGGTATCTATGTGATACAGATGCAGCAGAATGCTGGAGTTTGTCTCACTGTTTAGGTGAAATCTTGCATTTTAAATGATGTGTCAGTATTTAAGTGAAAGCTTTCAGACTGAAGAGGGTTACGTTATGTATGTCGTCACTCTACACCGTGTGTGTGCATGCGTGTGTGTGTGACTTTATGGTCTCAGCATTACTAAAAGCACACGTTCAACTCAATTAGCAGCATGCATTATTGATACCTGTCTGGAGCTGTACTTGTTTTTACACTGGAATTAAAAGCCTCCGGTGTCACCTATCACACTCCAGAGAGAGAGAGAGAGAGAGAGAGAGAGAGAGAGAGAGAGAGAGAGAGAGAGAGAGAGAGAGAGAGAGAGAGAGAGAGAGAGAGAGAGAGAGAGAGAGAGAGAGAGAGAGAGAGAGAGAGAGAGAGAGAGAGAGATAATAACTTCAGCGGTAGAGAAAGGGACAGGCTCTTGCTATTTTTACAGAACACACTGTACACAGTGAGTTGAGGGATGTTAAATGAACCCTGAAAGTTCAGCTCCAGAACATTCAGTGCTGAGGACTTGGAGTTCAAGTACCTGAAACTAGCTGAAATAAATAAACAAATAAATAAATAGTACATGTAGTAAAAAATAAAATTAATCACACAAGATAAAAAAAAAAACAATTATAACAATAATAATTATTATGCTGTAGTGTCTTACATGACTTTATTTTTTATGGTTTATAGTTATTATTATTAGTATTATTAATGAAAACATTCTTCATTAATCACCAATAATAATAAAAGATGACAACAGCAGTGCTAGCAATTATTACGATTTATTATTATGCTCTGTTTTAACAGACTGTCATTGTTCTGGTTTGTAGTTTAATAATAATAATAATAATAATACAAGATAACTGACATTGATTTGGTTTGTAGTGTATTATTAGTAGTAGTAGTAGTAGTATTGTTGTTGTTGTTGCTGTTGTTATTTTATGGTTTATTACAATGATAACAATTGCTTTTTATTTTGATGTTATAATAATTAGATTGTTACAGTTAGATTGTAAAGCTTTGCAGTAGTCAGTACAAAATAAAACAGAATCTAATCTGACTATAAACATTGCTGCCACTTCTTCAAAAATGATAGATTTAAGATATTTTGCATCTTCAGCTGTAATCAGTAAAGAGAGGGACTGTGTGTGTGTGTGTGTGTGTGTGAGAGAGAGAGAGAGAGAGAGAGAGAGTGCGAGAGAGAAAGAGAGGGAGGGTGAGCAGGGGTGACAGGTGTCTTTCTTCTGTCTCCTCATCAGTCTCTTCATTGTTGCTGAAGAAAGCTGGAGCAGCGCTTCACACACTCCATCACAGAGGTACTCACTCACTCCACCACATCTCACAGCTCAGAGACCAGCACATTACAGTACAGTTTACTGATTAATAAAATAATCTGTAGTACTATAGTCATCTTATAGTGAATGACTGTCATTGTATGTTATTTAAGTGTTTTATAATGGCTAAAGTAGTTAGTATCTACATATATATTCATATATAATATATAAAAATATATAAATATAATAATAGAAATAAGTTATTAATAATAATTGTATTGTTAAGACAGCTAGTTTGAATGCTTTACATTATTCACAGGCGAATCAAATACAGGAAAGAAAAATATCACTAAATTAATTCATAATTTTTGTATCGCACTTTTTCCACACAACACCAACAGAATACAGCACAACAGAATACAGCACACAGCACTGAAAATCTATGATAATAATAATAATAATAATGATAATAAGGAAAAATATTTATATTCACTATAGGCTGTAAAAAATAACAGAACATGTACGAGAGGGGAAATGGCTGTACTCTAACTGGAACAGCGCTGGTTGATCTTTTCCCTCCAGCAGAGGAGATGAAATGAAGTTGAGCGACATAACTTCATCTCTCAGTTGAGAAATCTCTCTGAACAATGAAGTAGAGAAGAACTGTAAAAATAGCATATAATAGTTATCCCTAACCAGAGGTGTGTAGAGTAACTTATACGCGCACTCAAGTAAAAGTGTTGTTACTTTGGAGAAATAATTACTTAGATGGAAGTAAACACACCTTTCAAAAAAGCAACTGCAGCATAGCTTCTTAGTACATCCAGACCTTGGCTTTATAATTCTGTTTTGGATTCTTTTGGCCTAAAATAAAATGGTAAACTTCAAAAGCCAGAGGTGTACCAAACACAAAAAGGAGCTATTAATAAAAAAAATTATTGTTAAAACTAATTGTTAATGACTAAAATGTGAGTAATATATAGATTCCTTTCCTTACAGGTGTAAAGGGAATGGATTACGAATTGAAAAAACTCAGGAAAGTTCAAAACCCATTAAACTTTAAAGTGCATTTACTCAGTTACTAAATTACTAGTTACCTCCCACCTCTGCTTCTCTGTCTATTGATTTGTAATTGTTGTTTTTTAATTATTATTTGTATGGATGTCTAAGTGTGTCTAAATTGTATTTAGAAAATGACAGTGATGATGAAGGTTTCATTTTACAGATGCAGTGCAGCTGCAGTTCAAATATGGGCTCTCTCTCTTCACCTTACTGGAGCAGATGTAAGTGTGAGTGTATGTGTGTCCACAGACTTGCAGGGTGTGAACTGCAGGTTTCTTTGAAGAGTTTGTGAAGTACTGCTCTTTTTTTAGCCAACAAGTTTGGCTGTTTGGAAGATGCTGTGGGTTCTGGATCGTATGATCCAAGATGACTATTGGAAATCCTGCTTTGAAAGAACCAATGTTTCACCTAAAAATCAGAAAAATTGCACTATGTTTCCCTTTTGCAAGCTCCGTGTCGCTCAATAACAGGATAAATTAGGAAAGAAATGCATTTTAACTACGTAGATCTTGACCTCCTGTCTTTGGATAAAGGCAGAGGGGGCGGATAATTAATTGCAGTTGTAATTCATCAATAAATTGTCTGCAGCCATGTCTTTGCTCTGACCTGAATATCTTCTTCTCCATCATGTTGGTCAGGCAGCTGTAAACAAAAACCCTAGCCTGTATCTCAAGGAATATACATCGTTTCTACAATGATGCAGGCTTCATTAAAGGTTGCACTAAGGGCGCTTAGAGGGCACTCGTGAGCCTTTAAACGGCAAAAAGAGGAATGAAACACCCTAAATGGACACATGTTTATGAGGCCACTGCCCCTCAGAAAATGTCATCATTAGTATCTGGACGAGCCTTAGGTCTGAGTCAGGTTTGTGTATGGGAAAAATGAATGCGTTTTGAAAAACCCAGTGGTAGAAAAGAAAAGTATTCCAAAGCTGACATTTTCTGTCCATGGATACTTTGAAGGTCAATGAGTAGTTGAAATAGCAATAGTGCTTTGTATATCGCTGTTGTCTCAAGAAAACCTTGTATCCAAAATGGTAACTTTACAGGAGAAGGAAATAACCTGCTTTACTTTTAATGTAAGTCAATGGAACCAGACTTTTTTCCAAGTTATTTTGGGTCATTTCATTTAGTCCATTCATCATGAAATTTTAAGGGCAACAGGTGTTTTCAAATTATGTCAAAAACTGAAAAACGCCAAAAATGGAGATACAAGGTTTTCTTCCGAAACAGCGATATGCTACAAGCAAGTTAACACTCCTGTGCTTTTAATTGACATCATAAGCCTGGCAACCTCACCAAAATACCCTGCACAAACCAGAAAGCTTATGCTATAGCCAGCAATTAGAACAGCTGGTGTTGTTATACAGTAGTGTTGGAGTAATATACAGTTAGAGTATCAGCCTTACTTTCACTCAGTGCCATTTAAATGCACAGGAGTGTTTGTTTGTGGCATATATGTAGCAATGTTAGCATTTCAACTACTTGACAAACTTACAATTTAGAAGATTCAGTGACATATTGGAGAAAAATGTGCATCGGACAAGGTGTACTAGCTTTAAACCATTGTTGTTTACTATATGGTGTGAAAGCAGTGATTTTCCCAAATTACCCCTTGAGAATCAAAAAAGTTTTGTCTCTATGTCTTTGTCTTTTCCCAGCAGTGCTGTTTCCAGATTGGGCCTATAAACCGGCCTGGTCACCAGGATCTCGGCAAGTACAGCTGTGGCACTTCCTGTTGGAGTTGTTGGGGCGGGGCGAGGGCGGGGCAATCAGCTGGGGTGGAGAATGGGGTGAGTTTGTGATCAGAGACCCCGAGCGGTTGGCCAAGCTGTGGGGAGAGAGGAAGGGCAAGCCGCATATGAACTACGACAAGCTCAGCAGAGCACTAAGGTATGTTAACACGTGTACCAACACAATTGGTTCATGACGTTTACACAACCTGTTTACACAGCTGACTTGACAGTTTATTTGGTACTGTGTACCTTCACTTATTGACCATTTTATCAGATATTATTTGGGTGTCGGACTCAGCACAGCAGTGATACCAGCATGGCAGTGGCATGATAGTGTGTGTTGCACTGGTACGAGTCAAACACAGTAGCATTGCTGAGAGTTTTTACACAATTTTAAACACTATTGAACGAAACTTCTCACCAGCATTCCATTCTGAGAATTTGGCAGTGGCCCCTTTAAATCTGCTGCCTGAGGAGTTATCACATTCCCACAGGCCAGCGTAAAACACGTTTTTGCTTGGTGGACTATTCTGAACTCAGCATTTCAAATTCACATGTTTAAGAATCCCACTTAAACACCTGCTGTGCCTGATACACCCATACCAGTGCAACACACACTAATGTGCTACTATCATGTTGGGGTCACTGCTGGTCTGGAAAGATCCACCTCCCAAATAATATCTGGCCAGCAGTGGTCTAGTGACAGATGGGCTACAGTCAGTATTTGTAAACCTATGAAGTGCACCTATATGTAGGTGTTTCTAATAAAATGGCAATTGGGTATAAGCACATCAACATATCTAATGAACTGTAAATATACTCAGTGTACACAAACAAAAGGCAGGCCTCACATTGCAGATGACAAATTACACTAGGAATGCAAACACATCCACAAGGGAATACACAAATATAATTACTGTGTATATTGTAATTACTATGTTCTTTACTGACCAGATATTACTACAATAAGCGGATTCTGCACAAGACCAAAGGAAAGAGATTCACCTATAAGTTTAACTTCAGCAAACTGATCCTGGTGAACTACCCCAGTCTCCATACCTGCCAACAGGTTTGTATATACAATACTAGGCAAACGTCAGAGACTTTTCCTTTATGTCATTTCCAGTCAAAATGGTTATAAAGTACATAGAAACTAAACGTCACATTTTTCAGTATTTAGTGTTTCCACTCTTTGCCTTTATTACAGCATCCATTCTTTTCAGGAGACTTTTTTCAAAGAAATCTGCAGGAACATTTTTCTGCACCTTCAAAGTTCAGTCTTAGAAGTTGGTTGCATTTTCTGCTTCTCACGATCAAAATAATCTCAAAGACATTCAGTGCTGTTACGTCTGGACTCTAGGATGGACAGTCCAATGTTTTGAGAACACCAGCAGCTTCTTTTTTTGATTTTTGTACTTTTATTGTTTTCTTGTCAGCTGAAAACTCCTGTTTACTTATTTTCCTTTGACACTCTCCTTCCATATACAAATAGATCATCATATATCTAATTTCATTAGAAATATCTCCTGAAAAATGAATAACGTATAATTAATAGCTGTTTTGACTAGAAATTAAATGAATGTCTCTGACTTTTACACAGTACTTTATTTGAATGTCACATATTGCTAGATAAGTTTCCTAGAAAACACTGTACGATACAGTATTTCTCTCTCTGTCTCTCTCTCAGGTGGTTCAGTCTGGACCCTCACTTCCATTCCCTTTCCTTTCTTCCGAGGGGTCACTCTACAGCCAATCTGTGGACATGGGTATTAAAAACCATTTTCCTGTAATGCCTAACATGAAAACACATATTAGTCTTACTCATATAGCATCTAGCACTTAACTCAAACCTCATAACTCAGTTTGGTCTTTTCTTTAACATCATGTGAAAATGGCAGTTGCTCTTTACACTGGACCAACAAAAAATACTTGGGGAGGGGGGGTGATCACATAACATTAAATTGTATTTTAAGGGTTATTTCCTGGAAAGTTGCCATTTTGGAAATATAAGTTTTTGTTTCGACAGCCATTGACAACCATTACCACTAATGTTTGTGTGTAAACATGTGTTGTCTCTCAACAGCCCTGCCCTCCCTCTCTCACCCTCTACTCCTCCCTTACTGCCTCCCAAAGCCCCTCCCCTTCACTCAGACCCATCCAATCCCAGGACAGTTCTCACTGTTTTCTACCCCGCCTACTTCGGTGGCTAACCTATCAGAGCTCTCCCGCCTGCCGCCGTTCAGCGCTGCCCTGCACCTTGGCCACACTTTACATGGCCGGCAAGCTAAGAGCAGCATGGATTGGTGTTTGAACAGAGCCATGGCACCACGTGAGAGGGACCCCAGAGAAGGGCAAGAAAAAAAGACAGACTGACTGAAAGAGAGAGATGGATGAAAGAAGCTGGAAAAGAAACTCAGTACTTAATAGATGACATTTAAAGCTCCAGTCAGGAATTAATACAATTTACAGGCCAGGTTTTAGTCTTGCAAGAGAGGTTTTGAAGCAGCAACAGCACTTTTGCTGAAAAGTACAGTGAGAAAAGTATGCACTGCATTTACTTTATTCAGATGTGTTACATCCATATACATTTTATATGTACAGTATTGTGCAAAAGTCAATGACCACTTTTTATTTAAATAATTTCCAGTCATTTCCAGGCCAGTACAAGTTATTCATTTTTCAGGAGATGTTTCTGAGGAGATTAGATATAAGATAACCCACTTGCGTAAGAAAGTAGAAAGTCAAAGGCAAATATTTAAAAAATCTGGAGCATCCAAAACTGGTGTTCAAAAAATTTTCAAGAGATATAGAGAAAACAGGACTCCTAACAACCGTGCAAACCTGACAGACCACCAAAACTGTCACCATCAGATAAACAACACTTAAAACTTTCATCTTTAAGAGAGAGGAGAAAATCAAGCACCACTCTTGCTTTAGAACTGAAAAAAAAACACTGCTGTTTCTGTTCATCCTTTCACTGTGACAACTCAACACTATGAGCCTGTTCACGCGTTGCATTAACATGTGTCAATACATATGTTATTTCTGTACTTGTATTTACTCTTTTCCACATTATGATAAGCTTGGCATGGAAGCTTTCATTGACCTGGAGAGCATGAAGGCTCTTGGTTTGGGGCCAACTTCAGCCTCATATCCTCCATCTGTAGTTTTCTTGTTTAAAAGGCACCTACTAATCAGTGCACAGCAGACGCATTTCCGCCCCTATTATTGTATATGGATAGCGTTAAACGCATTCTGTTTACACTTGTGTTAAATGTAGTCAAGATTTATCTCTGACCACCTCTGAATACTGTTTAAATGATCGGATCATAATTCGCTCACAATGTCTCCTGGGGGTGTTTACTCCTGACTTTTAATGCAGTTAAATAAAATACGAATGTGATCCAATCACCTAAAACTCATGTTAATGCAAGGTGTACATAGGCAAAATGAGTCTGAAAGGATGTACATTTGTCAAAAAGTCATTACTGAGAAAAGGAAATAGAACATTTGCACTAGAACACCGAAACTGGACATCTGAACTGTGGAGTAAGTTTTATGGACTGATGAGTCTAAATTTGTAATTGGCAATATTAAATTTGCGAGAAGCAGGAAATGCAATCTTCTAAGACTGAACTTTGGATGTGTGGAAAAATGTCCCTGCAGATTTCATTCAAAAACTAAAAGCGAGTCTCATGAAAATAATAAAAGCACTAACTACTGAAAAAAAAAACTATATTTTGTTGTTGAGGCTTCCTTGTAATTTTTGGTTAAATGTCTGTTTTCTGCTTTGTATTCTGACAATGAAAAATGAATAACTAGCACTTAGTGGCTGTTTTGACAGGAAGTTAAATATACTAGTGCACTCTGAATTGAGCACAGTATTGTATGTTTATATATATATATATATATATATTGCCACAATTATTGTACACACTTGATTGAAGTAAATTCAATGCATCACTTTTTTCAACATACATTATTTTTACTTACCATTAACTGTTAGCAAACTCAGAGCTTGGGTGGCTGTGGTACTATTTCTGCTGGGTCTGAATGAGTCTTTAGATGTTAGGTAATTGTTTTATCAGAGACATACAGTACAATAAATCATAGTTTATACATTACTTGATTGAGCACTTCTGTCTAGTCAGATTACAACAATAGCTGAAGAGTAATGTGCTCCATGTTTTAATGATCTTACTTAATATGAATAGACAAATACACTTCTATTAATAAAAGCAAAAATGTCCAAAAGCAGATCACTATCGTGTGTTATTATGCCAAGGACTGTATTAACCCAATACACTTTAAGAGCTGCAGCCCAGCATCCCCTGCCACCAGAGGGGCCCTGCAATGATGACTGCGAATAGAATTAGAAGGGGAAAGTTTGTGAACTAACTAACAAAAGCTTATATAGTTGTTAAGGTGTTGCCAGGCCATTACTATGTCATCCGAGGTGCTTGCTAAGATGTTGCTAGGCCGTCACTATGAAATTGTGTGCCAAGTTGTTGCTAGGCAGTTGCTGTATTTTTTGAGATGGTTGCTAATGTGTTGCTAGGCTGCTGCTTTGGAATCCCAGGTGGTTGCTAAGGTGTGGTTAAGCTAGGCCATTGCTATGGAATCCCAAGCAATTGCTAAGATTTTGCTAGGCAGTCGTTATATTGTCCCAGGTGGTTGCTAAGGTATCACTTTACTGTTGCTTTAGAATACCAGATGGTTACTAAGGTGTTGTCAGGTTGTTGCTGTGGTATTACAGGTGGTTGCTAAGGATGTTGCTGTGGTATCTAGGGAGTTGTTAAAGTGTTAATGGGTCCATTGCTATGGTATCCCAGGTGGTTGTTAAGGTGTCGCTTGGGCATTGCTCTATCCCAGGTGGTTGCTAATGTGTTGGTAGGCCATTGCTGTGGTAACCCAGGTGTTTGCTAAGGTGGTTCTTGGTCATTGCTATGTTATCCCAAGGCTAAGGTGTTGCTATTCTGTTGCTATGGTATCCCAGGTGACTGCTAATATGTGTGCTAGTGTGTACATGAGTCTATATGTATTGTCTATGGGGGGCAGTGTGGGAGGTGTCCTTTGTGACATCATTTGAATTGATTGAATGCAGATTGTTAGATTTGAATTTTCTCAACATTCTCGCATTCCCAGAAAAAATATCATGTTTGAGCAAATTTCGAAACCATACGTGTGATCATTCCTCAACAAGAAGCATCACAAAATGTTGGCGTGGTGACAGCATTAATGGCAAAAATGGATGATTATTAGAGGAGAGCCGTAGCAGGGCAGATTGTTTATTGAAGGTAGAAACAGAAAGGAGGATGCTCTATGCTCTTATTTTTCTTGTATAATATTGGGTTTGTCTGGAATTCAACAAGATGTATTGTTTTCATGGCTTCCAAAAAAATGTGGTAGAATTTCCCATTGTGACTCCACTGAACAATGCAATATCTGGTTTGCCATTGTCAACATGTAAACACAGTGTATGTTGGCTTTGCCAAGCTGAAATTGGTAATTGTAAAAGCAAGTGGAAAATCTGCTTAATGTTAATGGGGATTGACGTTCCAGGTTGTCTTTTACAGGGAGTTGTGGTTTATGTGAATATCAAGTGGAGCTGAGCTTATACTGTAATACAGTCATCGTGAACTTAAGTGAACTATTCTACTTTTATGGCTATAAAAATAAACCAGGCCAACAGACCACCACTATACTGTCCCCCATTCATCCCCTTTGATTCCAGCACTCTATGTTTATGTTCCATTTGTATATGATTTTGTGAACTGACTCATTCTCATCATTTCATTCTGTCAGTTTTCACATTCCTCCGAGTACATGCTCAATACCTTCTACTGTTTCATTCATATGCAAAAGTGTGGGCATCACTGGTCAAAATGCATGTTTTCTTGAAAAAGTGAAAATTTGTTAAAATATCCTCTGTTGAGAACCCATTTCTGCACATTTTAATACACAATTACTGTTTATTTGCTGAATCTAACATATTGGGTCAGTAACAGAGAGCGTCCCAGAGAGTCTTTCATAAGTAAAGATGGGGAGGAGTTCACCACTCTGTGAATGACTGCATGGCCAAATAGTGCAAACGTAAAATAGCAAGGAAACTGGGGGTTCATCATCTACAGTACATAATATCATTACAAGATTTAGAGAATCTGGAGAAATCTCTGATTGCAAAGGATAAGGCCGAAAAACAACATTGTCTGGCCGTGATTTTCAGGCCCCTCAGGCAGCTGCATTAAAAACAGATACATTTATTTAGTGGAAATCACTGCATGGGCTCAGGAACACTTCCAAAAACCACTGTCTGTGACAATGACAGTTCATCACTGCATCCACAAATGCAAGCTAAACTCTACCATGCACAGAAGAAACTACATGTAAACAGGATCCAGAAACACCACCGCCTTCTCTGGACCGAGCATATTTAAGATGGACTGAGGCGAAGTGAGAAAGTGTTCTGTAGTCTAATTAATCAAACTTTGAAGTTAATTTAGGAAATCATGGACGCTGTATCCTCCAGGCTAAAGAGGAGGGGGACCATCCAGCTTGTTATCAGCACACAGTTCAAAAGCCAGCATCCATGATGGTATGGGGTGCCTTAGTGCACATGGCATGGGTGACTTGCACACCTGTGAAGGCACCATTAATTTAAATCACATTCTGCATGTATTACAATAGCATGGCTCCAGAGTAAAAGAGCCTAAATGGCCTGCTTGCAATCCAGACCTGTCATCCATTAAAAATTTTAGACACATTATGAAATGAAAAATACAATAAAGAAGACCCGAACTATTGAGCAGCTTAAATTATATATCAGGCAAGAATGAGAAAACATTTCACTTTCAGAACTACAGCAGTTGGTCTACTCAGTTCCCAATTGCTTACAGAGTATAGCTAAAAGAAGAGATGATGATGCATCGTGGGAAACATGCACCTATCTCAACTTTTTTGGAATTTGTTGCTGGCATCAAATTCAAAATGGGCATATATTTTTCAAAAAATTATGCAATTTCTCAGTTTCAATATTTGATACGTTGTTTTTGCACTTTTTTCAAATAAATATAGGGTTTAAAAGATTTGAGCATCATTGTGTTCTAGTTTTATTTATCTGTCGCACAGTATCCCAACAGGGTCGTATATATATATGTTTGTTCCCTGTAGATTAAAAATGTAATTAGACTGTGAATGTTCAAAGTTTTGTATATAACTGTACATAAATTAGTTAATTATACCTCAACCTTTGAGTGGGACATTATTAGCTGTTGTATTTATCCTGCTGTTATGTTACATGTTAACTGTTTTTGATGTTCACTGTTTTGCCAAAATGGTTTACAAACAAGGAATACTAAAAATGTAAGATATGACCATCTGTTTTTTTATTAAAGACAGAGGAAAAAGAGACAGAAATAGACATCAAACCTTAGATTTTCATTATATTGATACCAATAACTCAATATGTCAACTCATAGACTAAATCAAACAATATTATATATATAATAAACAAATCCAGATGTTAGTGAAAAATAGTACACAAAGTACTCAAATTTTTATTTACCATCATTTTACCAGTGTCAGCATTACATGTAAAACTCAGAAGGCACGTGAAGGTTCACTGGTGGGTTTGGATAGTCAATAAAATGACTATATGTGCCTTGTAGACATTGTGACCCTGGTTCTTATCACTACCACTGTAAATATATTGCATTTAGTAGGTTTCTCTATATAGTTCACACCAAACCACTCTGACTGACTTCTCTCAACAATTGAATTATGCAGAAATTTGGAAAAATCAGTGGAATACCCTTTTAATACAGTCTTCAATAAGATGAGCTCTGTGCTCTGCAATAGTTAACATTGACACAGATAAAATAGCTATAAGTTTGCACAGGTGATGACTATGAAGATCCCAGAGATGGAGAGAAAGAAAGAGAAAATCTTCATTCTGTCTCAGACAAAGCACACCGTCTCCTGAACTCCTGTCCTCGTTCCCGAATCCATTTGGTAGCAACTGGAAAAAAATGATCAAGAAACAACTCTAAACAAATTAAAATAAAATAGACCTACTACATGCCAGACAACACTTTAATACACAAATTAATCTCTATTCATATACTGAGTTGTGAATTTAAGAGGTAGTGGGTTACAAGGGGCACTGTAATGGGGGGTTAGGATGATTCTAAGGGCCTGTGACTGACAGGGCCCTAAACAATTGGCTAAAATATATGGTAAATAATATTAAATTCTTACTTATAAAACGGTTTCATTTTCTTTTTTTGTTTTTGTCATAAAAGAAAACATCCAAAGAGACTCTGTGTGTATTAGCCCTGTCTCACCTTTCCCATACCCCTACCAATGAATCAGCCCTGTCTCCACATCGGAAGAAAGAGGTGAGCAGCATTTGTGTTATACTGCATGTCAGTTGGCATAACAATAAAAATTACATTTAAAATTACATTTTAAAATTACATTTAAACTGTAAAAGATGACCTTTAACACATTTCTTTGGAGGGTGTCAATCTTGTATCAAGTAGTGAATTCCACTGTATGCAGAATGTTGAATGCATGTCTGCACAGTGTTATATTTTCAGGGTTGGCGTGGCCTGGGGTGGTGGCCCAAGGTGACATCTTTTCATGGGACCCAAAATCCCTGGCAGCACCCTTGTGCGGAACCATCAGGTGGGGTTGGGCAATGTAATGGTAGACAGGTATACCATAGTATTTCAAAATTATAAAGTTATATTTTAGAGACGTTTACTGATTGGTGATGCAGGAGCTCAGTGATTTCTTACCACTGACAGAAAGAGCAAGTAAAATCTCCTTTGTCAGATACGACAAATGCACATCACTGTTGTGTTTGGCCAAAAAAGGGACCGCATACAATGACAAGCACCTGATATCCACCATCTAATATGGTGGTGGGCCATTGATGTTTTGGTGCTGTTTTGCTGGTAGTGGTCCAGTGGTCCTTGTGAACTCATATGAAAAAAATATATTCCAAATGTAATTTATCAAATATATTTATGTAATGTATATAAATGGCCAAAAACGTATTTGTTAAATATATTTTTAAAATGCATTTATTTGAATTTGTTATTATATATTTTTTCTATTGTATGTAATTCTAATAAAGGTTACAGATGTAACTAAATGGTATCGACTTCTGTGTTTTGCCTTGTGCCTATGTGGTAAGACAGTTCTCACACAAAATGTATTTCAAATAAACAGGATTTCAATCATTGAACTGCATTTTCACAGTGTATCATTACCAACAACACTTGCTGTTGCCATATGAAAGATTCATTGGCTAATATTTAAAGTTAACATAGTGGAATATAAATTAGTTTCAAAAGATGTTCCAAACAGTAAAGTGCATTAGCCAAGTATTTTGGCCATTTTCATTCATTTTCAAATGTATTTGATAAATACATTTACATATGTTTTTATATAGTGTATTTCCAGGTGTAATAAATGTTTTTTTAAATATATTTGAAATATATATGGTTAATATGGTAATATGCTCTGAAATACCTTTTAGTGTTTGGAATGTATTTTGGCATGGATTGCAATATATTTGACATGTATTTTAAACATACAAAAATATACGCCAATCAGGCATAACATTATGACCACCTCCTTGTTTCTACACTCATTGTCCATTTTATCAGCTCCACTTACTATACAGGTGCACTTTGTAGTTCTACAATTACAGACTGTAGTTCATCTGTTTCTCTGCATACTTTGCTGTCCCCTTTTAACCCTGTTCTTCAGTGGTCAGGACCCCCATGGACCCTCACAGAGCAGGTACTATTTGGGTGATGGATCATTCTCAGCACTGCAGTAACACTGATGTGGTGGTGGTGTATTAGTGTGTGTTGCGCTGGTCTCTGGAGTGGATCAGACACAGCAGTGCTACTGGAGTTTTTAAACACCTCAGTGTCACTGCTGGACTGAGAATAGTCCACCAACCAAAAATATCCAGCCAACAGCGTCCTGTGGGCAGAGTCCTGTGACCACTGATGAAGGACTAGAGAATGACCAACACAAACTGTGCAGCAGCAGATGAGCTATTGTCTCTGACTTTACATCTACAAGGTGGACTGGCAAGGTAGGAGTGTCTAATAGAGTGGACAGTGAGGGGACACAGTGTTTAAAACTCCAGCAGCACTGCTGCATCTGATCCACTCAGACCAGCGCAACACACACTAACACACCACCACCACGTCAGTGTTACTGTAGTGCTGAGAATGAAATGCCACCCAAATAGTATCTGCTCTGTGAGGGTCCATAGGGGTCCTGACCACTTAAGAACAGGGTAAAAGGGGGCTAACAAAGTATGCAGAGAAACAGATGGACTACAATCTGTAATTGTAGAACTACAAAGTGCACCTATATAGTAAGTAGAGCTGATGAAATGGAAGAAGAAACAAGGATAATGTTCATAATGTTATGCCTGATCGGTGTATGTCCATATATTTTTCTCCATATGGGAAAATAAATGGCATAATTAATTCTACTAAATACAAAGAGATTTTAGCACAAAATCTGTCTGCCTCTTCCAGAAGGCTGAAATTCCAAAAATACATCAAAATCAAAAAGAAATAGTCATTAATTCAAAGATCTGCAATAGTCTTTAAGTCTCCAGATCTGAACCCTATTGAAAACCTATGGTGTGGTTTGAAGAAAGTAGTCCGAAGGCAGTAGTGAAGACCTATGAAAATCAAGGAACTGGAAATGTCCTGCATGGAGGACTGGTCCAAGATCCCTCAACAGGTGTTCTCCAACCTTGTAAACATTACAGAAAGTGACTCAGTGCTGTTACTCTCGCCAGGGGAGACTTCATCAAATGTTGATAATGGGGTTATATTAAAAAAAAAATATTTTTGAAACATATGTTATTTAAGGAATCTTTTTCACAAAACAAAACACTCTCTCATTGCATGTGTGATTTATTTAATATATTGACATTAGCTCATTTTCATGAATGGTGCCAATAATTCCGGGGTTGACTGTAAGTTATTGTACTTTGTTACTATGCTAAGTTTTATTTTGGATGATTTGTGCTTTATAATTACTACTGAAAATTAATACTTCTTACTGAATTACATTTCCTAGAGAAAAAGTTTTCATTCCTTATATTTTAATTTATACTAATATTTTACTTTTTTTATTTTTCTTTTGCCAATCAGATGCATTCCAACACAATTTATAATTTTTTGGTCAAAACATCCAATCAATTTCATATCAGGCTAGCACTACACTTGTAGCCTACACTGCTGAGAATGATAAGGAGCAGGAATACAGTGTGTAGCTACAGAATGAGAGCGAGACCGTGCTGTGCATTGCGAATTATGTTAGTATCATATTATGTATGCTCTGAATTTCACTAACCAGTTTGCTGAAAAGGGTTAAGTCAAGGCAGAGTTACTAAACTGGGTGAGAGTATTAATTTTATTATTGAGTATTATTTTTCACTTTTATATACTTAAGTATGTTTGATTATAAATACTTTTGGCTTTTTACCTCCATTTTTAATTGATTAATATTTTGACACAGTACTCATATTTTCACTTAAGTATAGTTCCTCTTTTCTTTTTCTACTGGGCTACAGTCTGGATAGTAGGGGTTCCTTATAAACAGGCCAATAATTGAGGGTAGAAGGTAAGCATATCTAATAAACTGTCAACTCAGAGTATGTTACAGACTGAATGCTGACAGAGGCACATAAGACTTACTCCATTTGCTTCCTCGAAAGACAGGGCATCCAGCATGTAGGCTCTGCTCATCTACTTGCCCATTTTGTAAGAGATTGTACCACATCACTGCAGTACCCTGAAAAAGAAATGCAACAGATAGCACAGATACCACAGGCCAACTACATCAAGTTTTACTATTATGGACAATGATCCATTATCTATTCCAGTGCTTCTTAACCCTGGTTCTGGAGGCCTCTGCTTTGCACATTGTAGTGTTGGTCCTGTTCCCAACACAACTGATCCAACTAATTAGCTCATTAACATCCTCTTACCATGAGTTGTAAGTAGTGAGTTTAAGCAGGGAAGGCTCTAAAATTTGCAGGGCAATGGGCCTCCAGGTTAGAAAACACTGGTCTATTCAGGAGGGAAAGTAATAAACTGTATAAAACTTGGCTAGATATGTGACTATAAATATTGTGGTGTAGACCAAGTTATAGTCTCCATGTGACTGAATCCTTAATTATTATCTAATTAATTAATAATTAGCTGTAAGTAATTTTTCTTTTAATATACTATGGAACCCTGGAGGGGACGGTGGTAAAAAAAAAATAATAATTTGACTGGAAGTTTTGCAATTTGTATACGTTTTCTTTTATGCATGGTTACGATTTCTTAATTCGTTCCCACAATTAACAATTTGTTCTCTTGTTTTCTTTTAATTATGTGCACATTTTCTTTAATTCGTGGGTACATTTTCTTTTATTCAGGGACATGATTTCTTAATTTGTTCTCTCAGTTTATTTTAATCGTGCACATGTTTTTTTTCCCGTTGTGCATGTTTTTTTTTATTGGTGCGCAAACAAAATAAATGTAGTAGGCACAGATCATTTTATTTATCGTGTGCTAACAGCTCCCTGAAACTGTATGAGGATTTTGATGTGTTAGATTTATGCCACAGTGAACCAAGATGCGCTCATTAGGTGTGATTCTGATTTGGGTGTGTTATGAGGACACTGTAGCTCCTCTTCACAACAGGGCATCAGAATCAACAAACATCAGTACAGTTTAAAAAGATGTGCATGATTAAAGCGAGAAACAAATTAAGAAATTGTGGCCACAAATTTAAAAAACAAGAGAATGAATTGTTAATCATGGGAATGAATTCATGAGAATGAAATCTTGGCCACGAATGAAAAAACATTTGTACAAATTGCAAAACTTTCACTCAATTTATGTTTTATTTTTACCCCCCTCCTCTCCGGGGCTCTGTAATATGCAGTGCTTTGAAAAAATTATTAAACCTCTTAAATGTTATCGTTTGTGCATTTATTGTGAACTCATGGGCAGCAATACTAAATTGTCAAAGCCGAACAAATGTGCCTGCAAATATTTTGAAGAAAGTAAAACACTCAAATATGCTCCTAGCATAAGTCTTCAAATCCCTATCTTCTTAAAGCTCCAAACTTACACAGGTGAAAAACACTCTTACAAGGTCACATGCCCTTATAATTGAAAGTGAGTTTTTTTTATCTACAAACCATTAAAGTAACTGCACTTTGTGTCGAAATTAAAAGTCATTTGTCAAGTTGTGAACCTAAAGAAAAAGTGTGAAGAATGAAGGACAGTATAAAAATGCTTTCTGCCTCCCAGTTAGCATTGGATCAGAAATATAAAAAGGAACATCCCTACAGTCAGTATGGCGAAGTACGGTGGTGGCAGTCTCATGCTGTGGGGATACTTTTTATCAGCAGAAAAGAAGAACGCAGCCAAAGTCTTAATCTTTGAGAATCTGTGGCACTATTTGAAAAATGTCCACAAGCATTATGCAACAAAGGCAAACAAGAAAGCTTGTAAGAGTTTACAAGTAATTTACCAGTACAATTTAAAATTACAATTAGTTTACAATTAATATGCTGATTGCAAACATGTGCTTAAGTATAATTTGTAGTGTGGAAAATTATGAGAACTTTTGAGGTGTTTACATACTTTAGAAAAGCACTGTATATGCACACTGGACTTTCTTGTGTTAATCTTTGTTGTGAATTTCTTTGCATTTTAATATGTTGCACTAGAAACAGTATTAACAGCTGTTAACCTATTGTAATTGTTCAGTGTAATTAATCACCTTCTGTGGTTTCAGTGAAGCCCCTATGTTGGGAAACACGGTGGCCCCTCCAACACCAACATCACTCAGCTGTAATGGAGGAAGAAACATTTTAAATGTGCTTCAATTCCACAGATGTAAAAGGAAAGACTAATCATGTAGGTTCTATATGGACAGAAAATGTGTGGGGTGTGGACACTATATGGAGAAATAAAATCTTACATAGATCAAGATGGTGGCAATCCTGTAGCCATCAGAGCTTTCATCACGTTTCTGTTGTAGTGGAAACAGTGCTTTAGTGCAAAGAAGAGGCTTATTACCTTTCAACAGATGATTAAAAGTTCTTCCTTACCCCGGTATCATAATGTGGTCCAAAGTGTCCACCGATCCCATAATTTGACACCTGAAGTAATATGAAAAAATACATTTATCAGGAAGAAATGCAATTAAGCAGTCAAGCATATTTTTCATTCTGTATAATTACAGCCACTTATGCAGGTAATTGACTGTTTGCAAAATAAGAATTGCTATGCCTCTCAGCTGATCATAATCGTCTTTAAATGGTACTTCCTCCAGAAACTCCTCAGAACAAGCCTGCAGTGACAATGGCTGTGGCAGTAAATTAGTTAGAACTATTAGCTTAACAGAGATGAAAAGGTATTAAGCTATGGACAGGAATGGACAGGAGGAGGAATGCAGGAAGCTGGTGAAGGACTTTGTTGACTGGTGTAAGCTGAACCAGCTGCAGCTAAACATCAGTAAGACTAAGGAGATGGTGCTGGACTTTAGGAAGTCCAAACCTGCCTTGTCACCAGTCACCATTGATAGAGTTGATGTGGAGGTGGTGGGGACCTACAAATATCTGGGTGTGCACTTGGACAACAAGCTGGACTGGAGCTGTAACACTCTTGCAGTGTACAAGAGAGGCCAAAGCCGCCTCTACTTCATGAGAAGGCTGAGGTCTTTTGGTGTGTGCACTAAGCTCCTTTGAACATTCTGCCATACTGTTGTAGTGAGTGCTTTATTCTATGCTGTTGTGTGCTGGGGCAGCAGCATTAACGAAAGTGCTCTGAACAAAATATACAAACTTATTAGGCAGACTGGCTCTGTTGTAGGAGTCAAGCTGGACGCTTTGGAGGTTGTGGCAGAACAGAGGACACTCAACAAGCTGTTAGCCATATTGGATAACACTTCACACCCCTGCATGCTACACTGGATAAACAGAGAAGCACATTCAGTGGTCGACTGTTACAGCTGCGCTGTGTTAAAGAGCACCATGCGAGATCTTTCTTAGCCACTGCTATAAGGCTCTACAATGAGTCTCCTTACTGCAGAGATGGTACTTATCTCCTGCTGTCTGAACTGTGCTGAACTTCATCACTGTATCTCCTCTCCTATTAATACACACTGTGCAATATATCATAACTACTACTGTAATGACACTTTCACTATGCACTTTACACTGTAATATTGATGCAACTCAGAGTTATGAAAATGTTTTCAATTAAACTACGCAGAAGACTACACTTCCAAATTAAAACAGAGGCTAGCTAAAACTTAAGTTAGTCAAAAACTTTCTTTCTAAAGGTCTCAGAGAGCATATTCGATTGCAGTATGATGATAGCACACTCCAACGTCAAAGAACAAACCATACCAGATCTCTGAGGTTTAAATAAGACAGCTTCCTCCTATTATATTTTCTAACAATGTTCTAATCATTAGCACCTGATTGGGTGTGTCTGATTTCAGTTTGACGAATTTGAACTAGTGATAATGTAGGGGTGTACTAACTTTTTTCTTAAATATCTATCTATCTATCTATCTATCTATCTATCTATCTATCTATCTATCTATCTATCTATCTATCTATCCATCTATCTATCTATCGAAAATTTTAATAAAGGCCAGATATCTGTATGTCCAAATATTTTAATAAATCTTTTCTTGGGTTGTACTTACTTCTTAATATGACTGTATGTAGCTTTGTGTATTTGCTAAAAATCATTTTAATATGCTGTCTAAAGATGAATAATGTTATAGATAATATGCCATTCTTTGTATTGTTTCTTTAAAGCTCCAGTGTTAGCTTTAGCAAAAGCTCGTCCGAAGGGACAGCCTCCTACTTATGAAACAAGAAAACCTGCTGCTTCAACATTGAGTAGCTAAATGATTTCCCTGGTTTGATGCATGTAAACATTGTTTACAGATTTTTTTTACATTAAATTGGCCATCATGCATATTTTGTCAGTTTTCAAACATGGCTGCACTGAACATTATATTAACCAGGTAGGCTAAGCTGAAGGTTTCATGGAAATTGCAATAATAACTAAAGAAGGCAGGAGTTTTGCAAACGGTCAGTTGTTTTATCCATGGCCCACCCAAAAACCTGAATTTATAATAGCAACTGTTGCAAGGTTGGACAAGCTTTATAAAATATTGGCAAAAAAAAACCAAAACATTTAACCTAAAGAAAAATTGTAGCACACAACCTTTTACCAACCTTTTAGAGTTGTTCATTTCCAATGATATTTATTTTTCTATGTTTGTGAATGATCACTCTTGTTAATGATCAGGTGCATCAGTTATACTTAAGGTCAGACATAGGCCAGTTGTAACGTAAGTGTTTACTACGTTTAGGTCTACACAACATTGAGCTAGTTACTAAATATGTACACCTCTTTCTAAGCAGGTGTCACCAAAGGAAACCACACAAAAAAGACCAAAAACATGACTTATTTGGTTACCTAAGCTAAAAACACTAAAAGCTATTTGTTGTGATTTTACTTACAGTGTTTACAGCTATCACTTTCCTAGTTTTAACTCCAGAAATTCACAGTTCCAGCACAGTGAATCACAGCAGCTGCCAAAATATCTAAAATAATGCTGTTGTTGTGTTGGTAGTCCAGAAACCATCATTTAAAAAGCTGCATATTTAGCTGTTGCAAGGAAATATTAAAATATAACCAGATGGTGGCTACAGGTATTTAGTTTTATTCAGTTCAATGTGCACACGTTGTTCTCTACTATACTGGATACTTTTTCCATTGAAAAATGCAGTGCAAGTTACTTGTTATCGTCATGTTAACATTTGTTAGTCCTTTTTTTAGCAAAGACTTGACCTTGTGGTGCAACCAAATTTAATCTAAATGTAGTATGAATGGTGTCTATAATCTGTTGACAATGTTGTTTATTAAGGACTTTGTAAAGACTTTATGCACAAACTTAAGTATAAACTTATAAAAGAAAACGGTTCAGTTCAGTCACGGTACATACTCTTATAAACGATCGTTCTTCAAGGGTTCTTTCTCAAAGACAGTGGTTCTATATAGACTAATGAACGCTCAAAGAACCTTTTGCATGCTTGAAGGGTTCTTTGCATCAGGAAATCGTTCTTCAGACTAATGGAGAACGTGTTGCATATGATTATATATATCACCAAAAAGCGTTCTTCTATTGTTCGATGTCAAGCTTGTAACAATAAAAGAACCATTTTTTTGCTACAAAAAAAGTTGTGTGCTACAATTCCTCACTAGGTTGCATGGCTAATTAGCAAAGTGACAGAACCTCCAGTGAATCTGCCGACTCCATGTCCATGCCTGTTATGTCAGACAGTCTCTGAATAACCCGGAAAACAACAGGATCTTCCTCAGTGAGCCCAGCGCTGATACAAACACACACATACACAAACAATTATAAATCAATTATATCTGGCTGAATACATATTTATAGTGCAGTTATCAATTTATTAAAATTGAAATGACTAACCTTTGTGACACACGGTTAAATGAAACTGGACTATCTTTGGAATTAACTTCAGACCTTTGAAGCTTCAGAAAGAGAAATGTTGATAAATTAGTGAATTAAATTAATTTATATGCACAGCAAGGCAAACAGAACAGCAGACCACAGAGAGCAACATCAGTATGCAAATAACTCAGTAGTAGGAACAACTGAAGTGCAGTGAACACAAGCAGTTTTGATGAATTTCATAGAAAAAATTTAACCATTCATAATTTTTCAAATGAGTCTGTTCATGGACATTTCTGCAGAATTCATAATTGATGCATCCATGTTACACCCCAAAAATTCTTTCCTACCAGCTGTTGCAAGGTTGGAGAAGATTTACAAAAAATGGCAAAAAATCAATTTAGTGTGTATTATTGATTTTTAAATCTTAAAATATAGATATTCTTCGTTATTTTGTTGTGTAACTGCATAACATTGGTATAGTGTCAAGTCTCAACCTACCTACAACCTACCTACTTCAGCTAGCACCATAGCGTGTTAAATGAGAAATTCTTTGTTCAGTAGTGCCTCTAATGACTGCATCAATTTCTCTAGTTGCCACAAAAGAAAGCATTTGTGTGCAGAGCAGAGATAGATCAATTTTTGGGAACACTGTAAATTTGATCAAATTGTAGCTGTAAATAAGTGTTTACCCTAGGCCTTGAACAGTTTTTCAGGTGCTCTATCTCTGTCTCTGAGATGACATCGTGGTATCTCATGAACGGTGGCTTGTCCCACTCCTCTTCCTCTTTCACTGGAGCATACATGAGTTTGGGGTTCCCTCCAACCGTGCTGTATCTACAGGTCAACTGCCTCTTCCTTCTGGACTTCTAATATATAAAGAAAAAAGGAAAACATGCACACAAAATTCAGTGGTCAGGATGTTGACCTGTAGCAAACCTTAGGATTATATGACTCCAATTCTTCTCAATCTTCATTGGCTCCCAGTTAAATGTTGCATACCTTTTAAAATACTTCTTATCACCTACAAATCCTTAAAGGGACTGGCACCTTCCTTTTTTCTTTCTGATTTACTTCAACACTATGGACCTGCCCATATGTTGCACTCTTCAGACCCTGCTCTCCTCAATAATCCTTGCACTAAGTTACATTCAGTTGATAAACGGGCTCTTAGTAAGGGTGCCGCTAGGTTGTGGAAAACCCTTCCTCAAACCATCAGATACTGTTAAGGTTTTTCAAATCTTGACTTTTCCTTTTATGCAGGCTTACGTTTAACTAGTACTTTTGCACTCATTTTAATGCTTTTAAGTTTTATGATTGTATCAAGACTGTAAAAACATTACAATTGTAATATTTATCCTTTAACATTTTGGACAATGTTCTTGGTGCTCTGACAGGTGCTTGAAATAACATGTATTATTATTATTATTATTATTATTATTATTAGATTTAACATATTCAAATATGGATGTTACTTGCCATCTTGACTGCCTCCCCCCTGCAGAGGGCCTCATAGGTGCTTTTTGAAGTTTCATTTAGTGTGAGAATATCTGGATTTGAGATGTGTGCAGAACGCTGACCTTTTAAACTGACCAGGTCAAGTCTAGCTTCCAGGTTAGTCGGATCTTAGAGGTAAAGGTAAGAAAACAAATGGATGGTGTAAATATGTAGACATACACAAACTCTTACAAACTCTTACTTGCACAGCCAGGTCCATAAGTATTTAGACAGTGACACAATTTTTGTTATTTCGCCTCTGTACACAGTTAGAAATAAAGGTACTGTGCAGGTACAATTTTTCATTCATCAGGTACAAACAATTAAAATGTACCCTCAAAGGTACAACAGTGGTTTTAAGGTCCAATTGTGTACTTTAAATAGGTTTTCCCCAGGTGAAAAGTATGTATTTGTACCCTTTCTTGACCTAATGTTTTAAAAAAGAACATTAAAATAAAAGGCCTGGAGATGAGACGGGGTGCGTAGAGTCAATACAACTTAGAAGACATAATTTTGGTGGATTATGATACAATTATGCTCCTTGACTAAAGGTACTGAGATGTACCCTTGAGGGTACCACCCCAGTGACAAGAAGGGTACTGCCCCAGTGACAGTTTCGTTCCTTTATTTCTGAGAGTGTATACCACCACAGTGGATTTGATATGAAGCAGTTGATATTCAATCAACTTAAATTGAGATTCAAGGTTGACTTTCAGCTTTAATTCATGGGGTTTAACAAAAAGCAGTCACATCAATAAACACCAGTGACCCATTTCCACTGGTAGCCATACATGCCCATGCCATAACACTGCCTCCACCATATTTGACAGATGATGTGGTGTGGTGTGGATTATGAGCCCTTTCTTTCCTTCTCCATGCACTCTTCCCATCATCCCAGTTAATCTTGATTTAATCTGCCCAAAGAATCTTGTTCCAGAACTTGTCAGGCTTTTTTAGATGTTTTCTAGCAAAGTCTAATCTGACCTTTATGTTCTTGAGTGTGCATCTTGAGATAAACCCTCTGTATTTATAATCATGAAGCATCTTTTGACTGTAGACTTTAACAATGATATGCCGACCTCCTCTAGAGTGTCCTTGACTTGACTAGATGTTTGTGAAGGGGTTTTTCTTTACCACAGAAAGAATTCTGTGATCATCCACTTCAGTTGTCTTCTGTGGCCTTCCAGGCTTTTTGGTGTTGCTGAGGTCACCAGTGCATTCCTTCTTTTTAAGAATGTACCAAATTGTTTATTTGGCCACTCTTAAAGTTTCTGCTGTTTCTCTGATAGATAGTGATAGTTTGTTTTAGTTTTGGTTTGTAAGCCTAATGATGGCCCCCTCACTTGCATCGACATCTCTTCGGACCACATATTGAGAGTCCCAGCAACCAATTGCATATTCAACACTTAAAATCAACCGCAGATTTTTTATCTGCTTAATGTGTCATGAAATAATGGGGAAACAGGACGCACCTGGCCAGGAGACTGCTAATCAATCAACTGTCCAATTACTTTTGAGCCTGTGCAAAAGAAGGGACTATGTAAAAAATGAATGTAATTCCTGTAGCGATTGATATTGTAATAATTTTCCAATAAAGTAATAACACCCAGTAATAAATAAATAAAGTAATAAAACTGTATAATGTAAAAACTTGCCTAATAATTGATTGTTAATGTAATATAATTTTTACCAGTAATGTAGGACTTTTTTTACATTATTGGCAATTTATTACATTTTCAGGTTAATCATTTGTAATACTGTATTACATTATTGGTAATGTACTGTTTTTATTCAGTTATTATATTCATGATTATTTTTCTTTTTTAAATAGATAATGTAGCAGCTTTTTCTGAAAATGTAATATTACATTCATTTTCAGTTCATAGCAGAAGCTGAGAAAGCCCAAAAAATCAGTGTTCATATGTTGGCATTAGGTTTTAGAGGCATAAGCTTAGACTGGGGTGTCCTCTTGTCTTGACTGTCCTGTGGCATGAGGCAAATAGCGTTTTACTTCTCAGCTCTTAGACTTTAAGTCTCCAAACTGAGACACAGGGTAAAAGAAGCTATCACTGGTGCCCTTGGAATTGGGTTCGGCCAGCAATTCACTATCTGGCCACCAGAGGTTACCCTCTCCTGAGTACTAGCCCTGTTCCCAGAATCAAGCCACCTGTACCTCATCATCTCTCTAATCAGTCACACCTTAAATACTCCTCCCATTCTGCCAGTCTGTGCAAAGTATTGCCAGTTCTTTCGAGTCTGACTACTGAGAGTCTGTCTGTCTGTCTGTCTGTCTGTCTGTCTGTCTTTCGAATCTCTGCCTGACCTCTTGGAATCTGCTTTTGCTTTTTGTCCCTGTTGCTCTGTCCGTCTGGCCTTTTGGACTGATTTCTCTGTTACAACCTTTTTTGGTTTGCCTTTTTTTACCACGGGTTTTGGACTGCCCTATTGTTAATAAATCTGCACACGGATCCTTCACAAATTTCTTAGTCTGCTTCATCACAGGGTTCTAGGCCTTAAAGCAAACATTATAAGTTACAGGTGAAAGAGATGGGGCCAAGGCATTTTCCCTAAATGTCAGAGCTTACATCTTCTCAGAGCCTTAAGATTTAGGCTTTGGCCAAGCACTTATATAGCTTTCAGTGCCTTCTCAGGTGGACTTCTATAGATATGAACTTGGTACCTCCAAATAAAGTGAAAAACAACTGAATTCAGCGGATTATAAAGAAATTTTATTAACAAAGTTAATGAAAAGTCCCTTGATAGCCTACTGAATATATTCAGATGCTTCACTGCTGCTACATCATTGCTATGTTGCTTATATGTTACTTTCTGTTGAGTGTTTGTTTAATCTAAAAAGGACCACTAAAAATAAAGTGTCATGCACGTAATAAATGCCTAATTTTTAAGTTTTATGGTATTACATATGATCAACTGAAAATGCAATAAAGTCCAAATAATGTAATGTAATATAAAAGTTATTACAATAACAATTAAGACATTATCAGGCAGTTTATTACATTATTGGGAAACTATTCTGGGATTATTATGTTAATGGGAAATTATTACAACATTAAGTTCTACAATTCCTAAATATTTTTTTAAACCCCTTGAATTAAAGCTGAAAGTCTACACTTCAATCACATCTTCACTGCTTCATTTCAGATCCATTGTGATGGGATACAGAGGCAAAATAACAAAAATTGTGTCACTGTCCAAATTTTTATGGACCTGACTGCAAATAAAGATGCCCGAAAGGGTTCTTTAGAGCAATTTTTGGTTCCCTAAAGAAGCTTTCAGTAGATGGTTCTTCAAAGAACTCAAGTGAAACCACACAAAGGTTGTTTAGGGGACCAAATGTGGTTATTCTATGACATCACTCCAAAGAATGCTTTGTGGCATCTTTAAGATTGTAAGACAGTGAATTGCTCTGCATCAGCAAATGACGCTTACCCAGATTTACACGCTGCTGAGTGAAGTAGATTTCATAAGGCAGATTTCCAAAGAGGTAGGCCGATGATCCGAGGTACTCAAACAGCAGTTGCTTCAAAATGTCTGCATCTTTATGTTCCTTTATCTTAGAGAGACACTGGAGGAACCATAGGAAGGCATGCTGGTAGCTTCCCAATGTGTAAGCCACTTTCCCCAAATGGTAGGTTTGGTCCAAGTTTAAATGGACTGTTGTCCCTGTACAGCATTAACCATTGTCACAAACATTTTTGGCTAATGGCACAAAGTTCATTTAAATGTAATTATCATGCAGTTATTTAGGTCATGGTTTCTCAAACCTCATCATTCCATGGTCTTTTGATCACTGTCCAATTACAAACCTGCAGCACTTCTTCTATCTGTTTGTGTAAGGTTAAATGCTAGCTAGTAGGGATGCAGATTTTGGCTCCAAACATGCAATTGACCAATTTATTATTCAGTATCTACAGGGACTTCAATGCAAATTGGTTGAGCTATTCTTAGGTTATAGAAGCGTGTAGTAAAACTTTGCCAGCAGACCCTGGCCATGTAAGGGCTTTGAGGAACAATATGTAATACTGACAGCAATTCAAAATGGGTACTGCAGTCCAAATTCAAAATATTGAATAGAGTTGTCTGCCCTCACCCCCTCCGCCACAGACTCGAAGCTCATGCGGGTTGCCAGGTTGAGAACACTGAACCTACATGAACGAGCACAAGACGAGTGCAACAATGAGTCCTACACTGTAAATTGATCAGCTAATCAATATGTTTGCAATGTTTTTACTGTTTGCAAATTATAAACCAGCTCTTGTGGTTTATAATCTGCAATTATTGGGAAATGGTGAATTGTTTGCTTCATTCATGAGACAGACAGCAGTCCTGCTATAGTGGGAACAGCAGTGGGCTGAAGCAGATAATGAGAGGAAAAAAAAAATGTAATTTCAGAATTTCATTCATTTGAATATATTATATTAATAGAATAATTACATGAAGAAAACTGACAACAAGTAACAGCAAGGAAGAGTGTGAGTTAAGTCAAAATTACGTTTGTCTTATGAAGATGTATTCTAAATTTTAAATATGTTATTGTTTTATGTATTGTAACAGACTTTGTAACTGAATACATTTAAAACAGTGTATTCAGTATTCAGCCATCAGTACTTTTTCAAAGTCTTCTGCCCAGCTCTGGTTACAGGTATCACTACAATTACTATCATTTACATGCACTTAGTAGGTATCCTACAATTAGCACATCTGTTGTTGCAGAGTTTATCAATCACCTGTTATACTGTGTACCACCATTGGATCACAACTGACCAAATTTTATTTGGGTGGGGGTCCAGTTTTAGCACAGCAGTGACATCAGCATGGAATATGATTGTGGCATAGTAGTGTGTGTGACGCTGGGACCAGTGTTTCAGGCACAACAGTTTTGCATGGGCTTTTAAACACAATGTACACTTACTCTCCACAGTCCGAGGTATACTACTGTACACTCGTACCAGTGTCACAAACTCTACTGTGTTGTTCTCACTTCTGTCCTGAGAATGGTCCACCTCTCAAATAAAATCTGGACAGCAGTAGTTATATGGTGGTTTCTTTCCATTAATGAAAAAAGATGTGCATTAGAGTACTGTAGCTATGTGGCTATGATGAGTGTCGAATCATTCTGACTGTGTTAGAATTTATTAGACGTTTAGAATAGCCAACAAATTATACAGAAACACTCTGCACAGCAGCATCTCCAACATCCAGTGACAGCAGAGTGAGAGGAGGTACGGCTCAACAAGCTGCTTTCCGAAGGCTAGTTTCTCTTTTGTGAAACTGTTGGACTTTCGTGAAGTAGGCACTACAGACAATGGTCATCTTATTAAATAAGCTATTATAAGAGTTTTTTAGGCATATATTTTTTTTAAATGCTGGATAGCTAGTATGCTCACTTGTCAGTGGAGCTGGGCATCATAACAATATTTATCGTTATCATGATAAATTTTATTGCAATATGTAACAACAATATGCTTTTCTGGGCATATTGTGGATATTGTCTACTTAAAAATCACTTTCCAACTGCATGTTTGATTAAAAATAGAGCATAATTATCCCTGCTTAATTTGATTTAGTACAGTACAGTGTGTGAAATATTGTATACAAGCAATTGCATTCATAGTTTTTGATAATATTTTGAAAATGTGTCACTACTTTGTCTGTTCTAGCTTTTCATATGTCAGAAAAAACAATATTGTGTCAAATTGCAGTGTTTCCGCTTGTAACATTTCTCCATGGCAGCCCACCACCGCAAAAAAGGGAAAAATAATAATCCAACCAGTCATCTAATACACAGCCTGGAAAGGCCAAAATCCCGCCATCACCACAGGCCCCCCTCCCCCTGTGCACGCATTACGGAATTCAGTTGGTTAAGATACAAATAGGTTATATTACACTGCCGTTTAGCAGACACCTTTATAAAGCTCTAATACAGATGAACTTAGATTTTCTCCATGGAAAAGAAAAAAAAGACAATGTTGGTAAACAGAGCAGGCATTTAATTAGGTAGGGGATGATGACTCATTTCACTCCTCGCTCTCTTAGGTAGGAATTGGGTTAGCTTAGCTCTTATCCTGGCTCTCTTCCCTTTAAGTAATAGCCCTTCAGTAACTGCTATACTGCAACCTGAGCTTATCTATACACACTGAGCTTATCTAATTATGATTGATTAAAGTAATATGACTACTGCTAATGGCATACACTTTTCTGTGGCTGAGGCAGTGTGCTGGTACTTCCCACACACACCAGGAGAGACTCACTTTCCACAACAAACCCACTCAGTTAGATTGTCATATACACAGGTGCAGTTCGGCTGTTATGTTGGTGAATGAAGTGCAGTCAACTTTTCCCACCTCTTAAAACGTCTTCTGATTTTTGATTACATCAGCAAGCACCAACAGGGTGGAAAAAAAATTAAACAATATCGTGTCCCTCTCCCACCACTACCATCTATCAAGCAAAAACACTGCCAGCTCAGAGACCCCCCCCTAAAACAGTGTTTTACGGAAGGTCACTGCCATAGTAGTTTTGGAAGGCATTTTCCATCCAGTTCTGTTATTCAACGAGGATGCAGTGCTAGCCTGTAAGTGTGTTGACCTACCATTCAGAAAAGCATTCCAAGACTCTCCAGTCTTTAGTGAGACGATTTAAATTACACACTTAAAAAGACGGTTCTTCAAGGGTTCTTTAGTAAAAAAAATGATGCTGTATAGAATCCTTTTTAAAAAATGTTGCCTATGCAAAAGTAATGGCACATTTTATATATATATATATATATATACTACATTGCCAAAAGTATTCACTCACCCATCCAAATCATTGGTAAATAAAACCAAGCACCTAGGTATGCAGACTGCTTCTACAAACATTAGTGAAAGAATGGGCCGCTCTCGGGAGCTCAGTAAATTCCAGTGTGGTACCGTGATAGGATGTCACCTGTGCAACAAGTCCAGTCGTGAAATTTCCTCGCTACTAAATATTCCACAATCAACTGTCAGTGGTATTATAACAAAGTGGAAGCGATTAGGAACAACAGCAACTCAGCCACGAAGTGGTAGGCCCCGTAAAATGACAGAGCGGGGTCAGTCGATGCTGAGTCGCCAACTTTCTGCAGTCAATCGCTACAGACCTCCAAACTTCATGTGGCTTTCAGATTAGCTCAAGAACTGTGCATAGAGAGCTTAATGGAATGGGTTTCCATGGCCAAGCAGCTGCACCCAAGCCTTACATCACCAAGCGCAATGCAAAGCATCGAATGCAGTGGTGTAAAGCGCCGCCACTGGACTCTAGAGCAGGGGAGACATGTTCTCTGGAGTAACGAATCAGGCTTCTCTGTCTGGCAATCCGATGGACGAGTCTGGTTTGGTGGTTGCCAGGAGACCGGTACTTGTCTGACTGCATTGTGCCAAGTGTAAAGTTTGGAGGGGGATTATGGTGTGGAGTTGTTTTTCAGGAGTTGGGCTTGGCCCCTTAGTTCCTGTGAAAGGAACTCTTAATGCTTCAGCAAAAGACATTTTGGAAAATTTCATGCTCCCAACTTTGTGGGAACAGTTTGGGGATGGCCCCTTCCTGTTCCAACATGACTGCGCACCAGTGCACAAAGCAAGGTCCGTAAAGACATGGATGAATGAGTTTGGTGTGGAAGAACTTGACTGGCCTGCACAGAGTCCTGACCTCAGCCCGACAGAACACCTTTGGGATGAATTAGAGTGGAGGCCTTCTCGTCCAACATCAAAAGTGAGACATTTTACCATTTCATGAAAACCATGATGGCAGCAACGCATATCAAAAAAGTTGAGACAGGGCCATGTCTACCATTGTGTAGCATCCCCTCTTCTTTTAACAACAGTCTGTAAACGTCCGGGAAGTGAGGAGACCAATTGCTGGAGTTTTGGGAGAGAAATGTTGTCCCATTCTGATCTGATGTAGGATTTTAGCTGCTCAGCAGTCCTGGGTCTTCTTTGCCAGATTTTTCCTTTCATGATGCACCAAATGTTTTCTACTGGTGAAAGGTCTGGACAGCATGCAGGCCAGTTGAGCACCCAGACTCTTCTTCTGCGAAAGCTTGCTGTCGTGATGGATGCAGTATGTGGTTTAGTATTGTCTTGCTGAAATATGCAAGGCCGTCCCTGAAAGAGACGTTGTCTGGATGGGAGCATATGTTGTTCTAAAACCTCTATATACCGCCCAGCATTGATAGTGTCTTTCCAGATGTGTAATCTGCCCAAGCCTTAGGCACTAATAGAACTCCATACCATCAGAGATGCAGGCTTTTGAACTGTGCACTGATAACAAGCTGGATAGTCTTTCTCCTTTTGAGTCCGCAAGACTGTGGTTGAATGTCTCACTTTTAACTTTTTTGTGTTCTATGTTGTATTGTGAATAAAATATAGGTCTACGAGATTTGCAAATCATTGCGTTCTGTTTTTATTTATATTTATTTACATTTTACACAGAATCCCAACTTTTTTGGAATTGGGGTTGTATATTCTTGAGTATGTTTAAATGTAGTTATTTTTTACTTGTACATTTTTTATCTATACCTCCACTTATTTTTTTTCTCTATACTTCCATTTATTTTTTTACTTATTATTTTTTAACTATACTTAAGTACGGTTTTGCTATACTTTTTATGTCTCTGTTCATGAATTTAGAGAAGTGTCAGAAGAAACCAGTTAGATGTTTTACTTCCATCCACCACAAGAGGGAAGTATTTAATAAGCTCACTCAACCAGCCCCGACTGATTTAGTGTGCAACTGTGTACAAATTATGCTTTACAGAGTTATTTTTTATGTGTAGCTAGTGATAAGCCCCCCCGTTCAAACATTTTAGAGAAGGAGTTTACTTCTTTAAAATCCACCCATAGAAAGATTCAGCAGGTTGCACAAGCTTTCCCAAAGGCAAACACTTTCCCTGTTTAATATCACAGGCTTGAATTAAAGTACTTATGATTCACTGTAAAACAGCAATCCAGAAGTCTAAAGAATGTGACTTGAATGGCTTACACGCTTTAAATGTCCGTATTTCAGTCAGAAGTGGCATCAAACCCGGGCTGAATCTCAAACGGCTCCGTATTCCCATGCATGCTTCCTTTATCTCTGATGATACATCAATGTCATTTTATGATTTAATGCAGTAAATATGTTACATATTGTTCCTTGAAAGCATCACGTTACTTTGCTAGCCATACAGGCTACACAGCTAACCACAACAGATGTTTTAGTTCAGTCCCTGGTGATGCCACAGCCATCTGTGGCTGGAAGCCCAAGAGAGCAAAACTGTCCTTGCTCTCTCTGGGTGGGTAGGATGGTCCCCCCTCTACCCCCATTATTCAGGGCGATTTTAGCCATTGCAGGCATCTGTAAGCTAATGTAACAGAATTGGCATTTAGTATTCTCCAAGCATGTTGAGCTGTCCAATGATGTTGTATTAGCAGCAGTTCAAAAAGATGTAGTGGCATTTCACATGTCTCAGAGGAAGCACTTGCTAGCCTTCACTGTACCAGCTTGGTAGCATCATGTGATTGAGGGAGACCTAGCTAGCTGCTGAAGTGGGCTACAACTAAACTGGGGAGAAAATTGGGAAAAAATCCAAAAATTGGAAAAAGAGGCAAAAGAAAAAAAAAAACAGCATCGAAATGGGCTACAGCGTGAGCTTTGGATTTTAAAAAGAAAGCTTATAAAAATCGAAATAAAAAGCTTATAAAAATCTTAGTAACAAAATGTAAAGGAATCAAAATTGGCCATAAAAATCATGATTGGTGGTCCCCACTAGCTAGCTTTAGTAAACATAATCAAAATATGACCATTACATATCGTATGCATTCTGACACTTGAAAATGTGCTGCATGATTCCATGGAAACAGACTATGTATCCTAAACAAAGCATATGCATGGAAAATGGCCAGAAACCGTTCATAAGTTATTAATTTAACATAACAATTACATTATAATTTCATATAATAATGTACAAAATAGTAAAACAATAACATTTCTATTTTCTAGAGCACTGGTTCTCAATCCTCATCCTGTATGCAGCAGTTTTTACCCTGCTCTAACATACCCATCTCATCTGAGAAAGGGCCTGATAATTGGTTGATAAGTTTGTTAATTAGTTCATTAGTTGCATCAAATGTTGAAAGGAGGAAAGAGTCTAAAATATCCATGCCAGTGGTACTCCAGAACCTGGATTGAGAACTGCTGTTTTAGAGCGTTGTCTTCGTAGATGGTCATAGCTGAAGCTCTGCTTACTTTAACTGACAGGATGTTTAAGAATCTGAAAGGTCTGACCTGTTAAATGATCTGTAGTGATGTTCTGTGGGTAGAGCTTGTAGATCTCCTGAAGTCTGATTATCCCAACAGCAGCTTCATCTAAATCATTTTTGCCAGGGATCTGCTGTAACTCGTATTCCAAAAGGTCCTGATACTCTGAATCATGTTCAGAAAATTCAATCATTACAAATACAAATTCAAGAAATGAAATGTGACTTAATTTGTTTCATCAGATATTCAATGACACATGACCTAGGACATAAATATATATATTTTTAAATGTAGTTTCATAGTCTGGTGTCACCCAGAGGAGTGTTCAAAACTCTGCTCAAGGTTTCTGTGGCTTTAGGCTCACTCATTGGATCATGTGGGACTGACCACGTCTTAGTCAGGCCTTTGTGTGTGAGGTTATGTGTGTATGTGAGAACATGTTGACCTGTTGAAATGATTTTTCTCCATTTTTATCCATTCTTTTAATTATGTTTAATTTTCCTAGTATACTGGAAAACATTTTTCTTATTAATTTTATAATCTATTTCACTTTTGAAGTTCAATGTGTGGCCTTCTCTTTTTAGTTTTGGTGTATATCATATCTCAGAAATTATGAATGGGTGTTTTTTATACATTTCTAAACTTTTATCTTACTATGCTGGGGTAAATTCCCCAACACATGCCTTTGCACATCTTTGACATTTTCAAGACTCAAAGGAGAGTTTTCAATCTATGCAGGATTAAATGTAAACACATGCAAACTAATTCACCAAACGCTCTGTTCTAGAGAAAGGTACAGTCAGAATTGTTCATAGAAGTGTAATGCTTTTTTATCTGAGCAACTGAAATTTTGAAAAATCTGAAAATTCCATTTACACCTAAGAGATACAAGTCCTTACCCTGAAAGGGACTCAGTTTAGTGTATTCAGCAATAGTTGCCCATTCCTCTCTCAGTCTCCTCATTAACTTGTAAGCTGCTAGTGGGTCGCTCATCTCTAGGTCTGGTCTCCCAGAGAGTTTCAGTATTTGAAGAACCAGCAGAACACTGTAATGAACATATTCTACAATTATTTAGCAGGTAAACAATGCTATTTAAATTGTTTTATTTATTTTATTTGTATTTTTTTATTTAATTTAATTTTAATTTATTTAGTTATTAATTTGTTTACTCATTTGGACATAAAGAACCGTAACACAGACACATACATTTGTATGGTGCTCCTTGTCAAATATGATGTTTTATTGATTTTCTACATGGAAATAAGTTAACATTTTCTACAAAGAAGTCAATCCTGCACATATATATCGCTGCTGTTGGAAGAAAACCTTGTATCTCCATGTTTGTTGTTTTTCAGTTTTTGACATAATTTGAAAGTGCCTGTTGCCCTTTACATTGTGTGTAAATTTCCTTATGAATGGACCAAAAGAAACAGCCCAAAATGACTTGGAAAGAAGTCTGTTTTTTTTTCTGTAAAGTTACCATTTTGGAGTTTTCTTCCAACAACAGCAATATATATATATATATATATATAATATATCGACTCAGTAAAAGCAAATTGCACCGTTACATGGAAACAAAAAATAAAACAGTTTAAAGACAACCATGGTCATGTAACTTGAAGTCCTGGCCACCAAACCACTAGAAACCAGAAATAATATATATGGACATATATTTTTATATATTTGCAATATATTTCAAATACATTGCAATCCATATCAAAACACATTCCAAACACTAAAATGTATTTTAGAATATATTGCCATATAAATCAAATGCATTTTAAAAGGCATTTATTTTAAAATATACTGGGAAATATGATATCTAGAAATGTACCAAAAATAAATGTATGTAAATGTATTTATCAAAAACATTTGAAATAAAAATGAAATGAAATGAAATGAAAATAGCCAAAATACTTGTCTAGTGCACTTTACTGTTTGGAATACCTTTTAAAATGAATTTGTCTTCCAGCAACTTAATATAAATTATTAGCTATTAAACCTTTAACATGGCAAAGGCAGATGTTGTGGGTATACACTTGATACACTGTGAAAATGCAATTATAATTTGATATCTTGTGTATATGAAATACATTTTGTGTAAGCAATGTTTTACTGCATACATACATGGTTAATACAAAATATAATGCAAAACACAGAAGTCAGTATCGTTCATTCAGTTCATATATTGTATATTTAGTTATATCTACAACCTAAACCTTATCTGTATGTTAAAACTCCATACAAATAAGAAAATAGTGACAAATATAAACAAGGGCATTTTGAAAATGTATTTAACAAAAAACATTTATTAGTCATTTTCATACATTGCAGAAATATATTTGATAAATACATTTGGAATATACTACCTTCTCAGTTTCAATAGATGTACCTCCACTGCTTCAATGTAATCACCAAAGCTTTGCACCAGTTCCTCCTCCTTTGTTATGAGATTTGCCATGAGATCTAAGAAAAACAGATTTTGTGTTAAGAATAGTCGTTTTTGGGGTCTCATTTCTTTTACACACTGAAACTCTGAAAACATACAGTGCAAATACTCCTAGTCAAATGACATGTTTTGTGGATTTTCTAAGTAAAACTAAATCTTATAAAATCTATTACAGGGAATATAAACTGGACATTCTCTTCAAATTTGTGTTCACAATTAGTGCACAATTTCTGTTCTGCTGCTGAGTTTAACAAAAAATAATAATAAAACATAAAATGTAAAATGTGGCATAACTTTTGCCACATTTTATGTGTTTTTTTTTTTGTTCAGCAAATAAACAGTAACTGTGTATTAAAATATATAGAAGTTTGTTCACTGTAGAGCTGTGTTAACTTACTTTCACGTAGAAAATCAACAACATAGTTTTACTGGGGCGCTCAAACTTTCGCATACGACTATAGGTTGGAAGAGTGAGTGAGAGAGAGAGATAGAGAAAGAGTGAAATGAATGTTACCTGTGGATGAGTAGAATTCATGCCCCATGGCGCAGGCAAGCCAACAGAAAAATATGATGAACTTCTTTGTACCCATATTGCTGCTTAAAACTGAAGACAAGGCTAGACTTTGATTCTGAGGAAGACTTCTCTAATCTGCTTCAGTAAACCTGCTTGGCACGGCTCCTAGATACAAGATGCAGGAGCACTGATTTAGATAATGTGCCAAGAACGTGCTGTGTGAGTGTATTATAGAGGAACACATGGGGAAATACCCATCAGCTGACCTGACAACTGACTGACACAACAAACACAACAAATAACTACACAGAAACAAAAGCGAAACCTAGCAAAAGGCTGAAATGCAGGGGTGGTTTCTGGACAAGCCACACCTCTGGCACTTCGTTGAAGGTCACCAGTCAGTGGAAGAACACTGTAAAGGTTTATTGTTATAATAAAAATAACGTACAGCAATTAGCCAGCAAGCTGCTATATTTCATACTACATTAAAATTACTGTAAAACTACAGTCATACTCTACAATAATACATTTAGAAAAATAAAATACAAAACTTTCCTCATGCTGTATTATAAGCTACAATAATTTTAATGATCCTGAACTAACAACAGTAAGCCTGCTATAGGTCAGAACATTTTTTTTTTATTATTTTATATTTACATCTTATTTTCCAAATGTATTAGCTCCTGTGGAAAAGAGAAAATACTACAGAGCTGGTCACATCCCTTCATAATAAAAATAATGCCCAACTTACTAAGGTGTGAAAACAGGACCCCAAAACATTTTTGAATTGTGTGGGCTACAACTCAATTATTATGACTACATTATCCTGTTCCCATGCCTTACTCTGTGATGGCCATGTCTTAATTATCTTGTTCTCACTCCTCCTTCACACCCACCTTCACCCTTATCTCATTTTCAAACCTTACTAGCCATAGCCACAGTTTAATTATCTCGCTACCGCATCTTTCTAATGTCATAATTATCATGATTTATTGTTCTTATACCTTTCTAAATTGTGGCCACAACTTAATTATAATGACTACATTATTCTTCTTACTAAATATTTTATGTGTTTTGAGCACTGAAGCAGATTTTGTTGGACTAACTAAAATTTACATTTTACACCAATATATTTCAAATTCTTTGTTCAGGCAATAAAAAATGCTACAGAGGTAAACAAACTTAACTTTTTTTTTCACAGTGCAGTAAACCTACATGAATCTTCTGACTTTTTCAAACTATTCTACCTATCCTGATGGACAACAGCTACACAGAAACAAAAGCAAAACCTAGCAATGAGTTATCAGTGCTGAGATGACGACATATGCAAAAGCTCATGCAAAGGTTTACAAGAACGCCGGGTAGTTTCTGGGCAAGCCACACCTCTGGCACTTTGTTAAAGGACATAATACAACTTTGTTTTGATTTTTGATTTTGATCATACAAATCCAAAGACAAGTGAATGTGTGTGAGGTTACTTAAGCAGAAAATGCAACCAACTTCTAACTGAAAGCGGAACAAGAACGGAATCTGTAATAAAGGCAAAGAGTGGACACACTAAATACTGAAAAAATCGGGTGCTATATTGTTTTGATGAAATTGTCTTTTTTCTTTTACATATGTTTTGTTTTTTTGTTCTTGCTCCTGAAAAACACTTTATAATGATAACTTTTGATTAGAATTAAAATAAGTGAAAGTACTTTTGCACAGTACTGCGTATATGTGGACATTTAAAAAAAAAAACAGGTATGGCACTGATTCGATATTGGGTATGAGTATCAGGCCGATATCAGCAGAAATGCTGGATTGAATACTGAAGGAAAAAATAAATTAATATGACTCAGTCCTGTAACAAATCTAGCCAACAATATTTCAGAAGTGCCACAAAACCTAAAGTGAAGTAGGTCACATGATTATGTTAATGTTCTAACACCCATGACCAGTAGCCACAGAGCCTAATGTTAACATGACAATAATGACTTGGTGGTAGGATGGACGTAGAATTATTAACATACCTGAGCTTTAAATGGGCATCCTTAATGGAGAGTTTCCATTAATAATAGCTTATTTTAAAGCTAAGTAGCTTTAAAGGGAAAAAGAAACATCAGATATCCCATTTAATTGTGCAGAAATTTAAAGAAAAATCATGGAATTCCCCTTTAACTGAAGCCACAGTGATTACAAATAGCACAGAAAGTTATACTGAGGTGAGGAAGAACTGAAAGTAAATCGCTGCTGCCAGAACTTGCATCTCCAAAACATTTCAGGAGGAGGAAAAACATTCTTGTTTAATATATTCATGTGAGCTAAGGTATGAGATACACTATAAGACATTTTCTGTTTCTATTTCTATTGGTCCATTCGTCCTGAAACGTTCTTATAAACCGTCAGAAAGGAGAATGTGAAGCATATACTTTAGGTTGCCTAGCTACTGGGTCACTAGCAGTCACAAGTGAAATGGTAACATTTCAAGGAACAGCAGGTATCACAATTCTCCTGACAAGGCTGTGAGAACTTGTCCGTCCAGTTTTTTTTTAGATGTAATGCACTTTCCTCATGTTCACATTATCATAGGGGTGTCACATATTTAGACAGTTAAACATCATTAAACACTGATGCACCCATCATGTGTGCAGTAATGAGGACATCAGGATATTAAACTTGCTGTAAAAGCAAATGTGACAAAAATTAAGTTACTGTATTACTTACATTTACTATATTATATTTGATTCCTTGGCACAATCGGCAATGGCCAAACCAGCCTGACACTAACACTCTGTCAGTTTATAAGAACGAGTGGACTCAAATCGCAAGTGAACTGTATATAGTTACAATGATATACCACACACTAGCATTCAAAAGCTTGGAACTGCTTAATAATTGTCTTTATTTTATTTAATTTATACAGTGTAGACACTGACAATTTATACAGTGTATAGTGGAGGAGTGTTAGTATATGTTGCGCTGGTATGAGACACAGCAGTGATGTGCAGTTCTCAAACACTGTGTCCACTCAGATGTAAAGTCAGAGACAATAACTCATCTGTTGCTGCAGTTTGCGTTAGTCCTTCATCATTGGTCACAGAATGCTGCCCACAGGATGCTGTTGGCTGGATTATTTTTCAAATTGGGGGTGGGGAGGGGCCAGAGAGGTGCCAGACCTCTCATAGGAATGCAGGGACAAAATTGAATTTTGGGGGTCCTGCATCATTTGCTTAAATATTTTCTGACAAAACGAATGTCCTCACATGAGGTGACTGTCTTCTTTTCTATGTTTTCACCATGTTCAACATTAGATTCTTCCCTTTGTATGAACTGCAAACTGTAAAACGTTTGTATGAAACTGTAAAATAACAGTTATAAAGTTATAAGGTAACATAAAAAATAAGGTAAGTCAAATTAATACTTTTTTTTTAAATAGTTTGCTGCTTGCTGCAAAGTTGTGTTTGCATCTTTTCACTTAAAAATCAACAAAATAATTTGGCTGAAGGTACCCAAACTATATCTATGAAATATTATCTAAAAAAAAATTACAGGTGAATACACTGCCAATCACATATTGTGTGGCCTAGCCCAAGTAAATGACTGTACATCATTGTGGACACATATCAATAGTCCAATAATGACGTGTGGCACATTTATGGCTTTAAGGAATATCAAAAACAAAAGCAAAACTTAACAGGTGACAGATACTAGGAATAGATCAAATGTTGAGGAATGAATAGTCCTATGTTCAAATGTGGGAACCATATTTAAGCATTCTTAGATCAACATCACTTTAAACAAAGTTAGACTGACACAGGAGAACGATCCACTACCCAGTGACCACCCGCTCTGTGGTGGTCCTGACCATTGAAGAACAGAGCGAAAGGGGGCTAACAAATTATGCAGAGAAACAGATGGATTACAGTTTGTAATCGTAGAATTGTACAACTACAATACGAAAGGAATGTAGATACAAAGCAGTAAAAAGTTAAAACCATACAAGTAAAAGTCTAAAACTCAAGCACTTCTCTAACACAAGAGACAAGGTCTTGTAAATTAAGTTAAAGAAAATAGTGGTAAAACACCTAAAGCAAAAGCACACTCTTAATGTAAGAAATTCAAAAACCATAAACAAGTTAAAACACATCACATCACATGTTGTAGCGGTCCTCTCTCCATTGAGCCATCTTGAAGGCCTTCTTGTAAGATTTAAGCTCCGCCCCAATTACACCGGCCAGGCCTCTGGTTGGTCACATGCCCTAAACATGACTGATGGCAAAAGCAGGTACACCTGTGAAGGGACAGATTGAGAGAGAGAGAGAGAGACACACACACACACACAGAAATAAAATACATGCTCACTCGTAACACAATCTCATCAAACGTAGGTTTGCATTTGTGGTAGAACAGCACTGTAACGACTGGCGTGAGCAATAACTACGTGTAGGCTGCTTTGCCTAGCCATGCTGTGCTGCAGACGTCTGCCGTAAGCACAATTGCCTGTAAACCCAAGGAAAGCCATAACACACAGCCGAAAACACGCACAAGCAAATTCACAGAAGTCTAAAAGCATAGTTCAGCTAAAAAGCATAGCTAGGCAATTTTATCCTTTCCCCAAATGTAGGCCATCAGCCAACACGTGTTTGGGGTCGGCAGACCCGTCTTGGCGTAAAGCTGGAATTGCGGGGGATATGAAGGCACTTCCATTGGGCATTCCCAGTGGCATCCGGGTGCTCCAAGTGGCAGCCTTCCGTTCGTTGTCAAGCTGGGGGGAGGGGGAAAGGCAAGAGCGGCATGGTTTCTGTAGTGTAGTGGTTATCACGTTCGCCTCACACGCGAAAGGTCCCCGGTTCGAAACCGGGCAGAAACAAACAGCACCTTTTGGGACGCTTTTAATATCCGCCAACCCCTTTGTGTAAGCATGACGTGCACCTGAGCGTCACGGCCGCCGCGATTCCCTGAGCTTGCTGCTGGGTGTTTCTGTAGTGTAGTGGTCATCACGTTCGCCTAACACGCGAAAGGTCCCCGGTTCGAAACCGGGCAGAAACATGCTGCGCCTCTTTTTCGCTCATGTCACGGAATTATCTTACGAGAAGTGCCGTTGTTCGGGGGGGAGCACCCACACAACGTAACTAGCCAAGCTGGAGACGCTTCTGAAGTGGGCAAGGAGAGCCTTATGCCGCCTTGCATGACGTAATGTACAGGAGCAGGAGCGGCGAGGCAGGTGCATTGTTCCTTTGCTCGGTTTCATTTTCTCACTGGACA